TCATCATCATCATCATCATCATCATCATCATCATTAACTTGCTTGGATTGGCTTGTTGGTTCAGATGGAAAGATCTAGCAAATGTTTTGTCTCAAAAAATGGGTGGGAGAGTTAGGAATAATTAATAAAAGTACTCTTAATCATAACACTGGACAAGTATGGCAAATGACCAAGGTCATATGTGTTCTACCTTTTTTTTCTCAAGTTTCATTTGAAATCCTAAGCAAAACCCTCCTTTTTTTATTTCTCTTTGTTGAGATGACTTCTTATATTGTTTGTGCTGACCTTAAACTTGCTGTGCAGCCAGTGAGAATCTTGAACTCCTGATCCCCCTGCTTCTACCTCCCATATACGTGAAAACTGAGCTTGCATGAAACACCCTGTCTGGTTAAAACTTTCTCTGTGAGAGAAAGCTTTTCCTTTTGAGATTTTTAAAAAATGAGACAGAGGTAGATTAATATTCCTATGTAGTATAGTTTAAAAGAAGAGCATAATGTATCCAGCTGTAGATTTATAAATGGGTTTTACATTTGATATGATCTTGACATATTTTGATAAGCAGAAGCAGGATGATGAGATCTTATGTGAAAGGATGTGTGTTAAACAATATCTGTGATACAAACATTCTAGTTTGGCTAAGAGGAAGATTGGAGTCCTTCACAGTGGCCTTTGAATTGTTTGTACTTCATTTGTTTTAAGGGTTTATAGTTTTAGCAAATAGTAAACTTAACACCAGCCTGAAATAACCAATTTTAGAAGAGACAGGCATTATGTAAGACAATTTGGCTAACATTTTGAAAGTTCCATAAAAGTTCTGAACTAGTATGATCAGCTACACAACCATGTGAACAAAGAGTTCCCTGGCAATTGAATTTCTACATAAAAACATTTGTGTTTTCTCTCTAAGAGTTGAGCTTAAATATATGGTCATGATGTAGGTTGTCTTAAAATCCAGGGCAATGGTCAATTTCCTATTAAAACAGGAAATTCAAATAGCAGTCTTTTAAATAGTTACTCTGTTTTCCTGTTAGGGTAGTAAGACTAAAATTAGGTAAATATTATTTTCTACTTGATTCCAAGAACTTTGTTATGTCAGATGGATTCCTTAATATATAGAGTTGTTGTAAATTATTTCTAATCACTCATCTTACTATTATGTTCCAGGAAAGGATTTAATACAATAAATGTTTCTATTTTGAGCAAATATAGGTAAACCTGGAGCCAAGGGGGTTGAGAAAAAGAAGATGTTCATTAATGAGATACAGGGTTTGGCTGTGCAGAACAAATTGAAAAACCTTGTGAATCAGTGTTCTTAGGGAAATTGAGAGGGGGTGAAAAATGGAGTTAAAATTGAATTGTTCAGACTAAACAAATGTTTAAATTACATGTGAATGTTTAAAGGAGTATTATGTATTTCAATCTGCACAGAAATTTTATGGTGGCTGTTTTTATTTTAGTTATTTGTGTTTCTCCCCTAGGTGGTATCATGGAAAACTCGATAGAACCATAGCAGAAGAACGTCTCAGGCAGGCAGGGAAATCTGGAAGCTACCTTATAAGAGAGAGTGATCGGAGGCCGGGGTCCTTTGTACTTTCATTTCTTAGCCAAACAAATGTTGTCAACCATTTTAGGTAAGTCTTTGTTCCTAGTTTAAGGTATTTAATATGGCACTTTGGTATTAAATCTGACACATATTTATAAATATATCCACTTTCACAAAAGTGAATGATATTGGTATAATAAACTTGATTTCAATTAAGTTATTTAATCAATGATTTAGAGTAAATATTTTTGAAATGCTTAAACTTTTTGTTTAAAGATAGTAATATTAATCTTTTCAATGCCAGTTTTCAAATATATTCCTCATAGGAATATATTATTACAGATACATTTTGAAAAAAATGTAGGCTAAAATGAAAGAAATATAGGCTGAGACTATAGTAATAGTAATAGAAAACACTGTATAGAGGTTGAGATTGTCCTTAGTTCCTTTCAGCTTCACTATCTTAAAATTCTGTACATGTTCACTTTTGTGAGATAGGTATTTATATTTTTTAAGTAAGGTGTCATCTCTATATACAAATATATTTACAGCCAGTATTAACTGATAAAATGTTCTTGGGCCTTTGACTTTTAAATTTTAGAATAAGTTTTAAGAGTACTGTCATTCTTTATTTTCACAGAGTATAATAAATCAAGGAATATAATTTCATAATGATAATATTTGATCATAGTTTTTATGTAGCATTTTTATTACATTTTACACGAATTTCAAGAGATTTGTAAGCTACTTCTAGCCAGAGAAGTAAAATTGCTGAGTCTTAAATATAGAAGTGATGGGAGATATCTGAGGTTAAATTTTAAAGTATTTGGTTCAGTTACATAATCGAGACTTGTAAATACGGTCATATTAAATTTATAAATATTTAAAAAATAATATTAAGTTACTAGTGATGATATGGGTAAGTGATTTTTTTGAAGTAAAGGAATGTATGTTAATGGAAAAGAGTATGAAATTGACAAAATTGTCTTTATGAAACTTGGTTTTAAAAATTGGACATAGAAGCTGGGCAGTGGGGGCTTATGCCTTTCATCCCAGCACTTGGGAGGCAGAGACAGGTGGATCTCAGTGAGTTCAAGGCCAGCCTGTTCTACAAAGTGAGTTCCAGGACAGCCACGACTGTTACACAGAGAAACCCTGTCTCAGAATACCAAAAAAAAAAAAAAGAAACAAACAAAAAAAATTGGACATAGATACTAGAGGGACATAGCCCCATGATAGAGAACCTGGGTTTAATTTCCACTCAAAAAAGGGACTGAGAAAGACTGAAATTATGTTTTGTTGTTTTTTTTTTTTTTTCCTTTACAATTAGGATTATTGCTATGTGTGGAGATTACTACATTGGTGGAAGGCGTTTTTCTTCACTCTCAGACCTAATAGGTTATTACAGTCATGTTTCTTGTTTACTTAAAGGAGAAAAATTACTCTATCCAGTTGCACCACCAGAGGCAAGTAAACTTAATGAAGTATCATGAAATTTATTTTCCAAAATCACATAAATTTTGATCTAATTAAATTTCTTATTGTGTTATAATTTTATAAGTATTTGTTTTATTTCTGGTTATAATGCTAGAACAAAAATCATAGTTTCCTTATTAAAGTAGTTTTGTATTTAAGTAATTAGATTTTTAAGATTATTCTGTGCGTTTATAGCTTACTGTAATTGCTAGATAAGTTAAAATTATAAATTTTATACATTGTATTATAAAATGGAGATTAATTTCCATGCCTTGTGTAGCTTATTTAATGATTGTTCAGATTACCTGAAAAAATCTGTTATACTTTTACAGTAATTTCTGTAAAAATAACAAGCAAGAGTAGTAAACATTTCTAGGTTCTGTATAGAGGCTCAGTAAAGATTAATTTGAATGATCCTATGGAGTTTATAATACGCAGTTGGCTTTAAGCTTTGTGTGGATATATCTTTTTTGACTTGGATACAGAGACAATCTTCTTTTGATTGTGTGCATGAGTGTATGTATGTGTGTGACTGTGTATGCAGCTCATGTATGTGTAGGGCATGTGTGTCAGGTTGTATTTGCACACTCATGACTGGTGGCTAGAAGCTGACATCAGATGTCTTCCTTGAATGTTCTCTACTTGATTAATTGAAGCAAAGTCTCTAGATGAACCCAGGACTTTTCAATTTGGCTAGTTTGTCTTGATAGTTTGCCTCAGATATCCCCTGGTCCTGCCTCCTAAATGCTGTGATTACAAGCAGCTGCAACACCTGTCACCTGTAATAATTTTTATTTGGTTCTGTGGTTCTAGTTTGGGTTTTCAGGCTGTGGGACAGGGGCTTTAGCTACAAAGACATGAACCATCTCCCCAGCCCCTAAGTATTATTTTTAATGGTTTTCAGCCAGTAGAAGATAGAAGGCGTGTTCGAGCCATTCTACCCTACACAAAAGTACCAGACACTGATGAAATAAGGTATTTTATACTATTTCTTATAAGCTTTTGAAAGAACTAGACAATGAAGATTTATTGCTCTTAAACTAGGAAAGATTTTGAATTTGAGGAAATATGTTAGCTATTGCCTTTAGTATTTGATCTGTTGTGTTCCCATGGGATGTCCTGTCCCTTCAGACTGAAGACACGAATCAGGGTGGCCACAGTGAAAATGACAGGAGAAATAACAGCTTTTTTTTTTTTTAATTAAAAAAATTCTGAGAAAGTAGAGTTCTTTCACAGTTTGTGAGTGGTTTATTTATTTATTTGTTTGTTTATTTTCTGGTTTTATTACCCATAACATACCTTAGCTATAAATGATACTGAAATAATTTTTGATTTTTGCATAGGGGGTGAACAATTTTAAATTTCAAGACTGTTGTGTAACTAGAGCATCATCGTTTTTGTTTGTATTTGTATTTAATTTGATTATAAATTAATTATAAAACTTGATAATCAAATTATCCTTTTCTAAAAGCTATTTAATCATTCAATAGAAACCTTGTTTCTTTACTATGAAATGGTTTGCTGCTTCTGAATAGTTATTGACTATATAGTTTCTCTTTGAAATAACAGTATGATAAAATATAAAAACTTTTTCTGGTACTAAAAGTTTTAGAAATTATTAGAAAACAAAGATTTAGGAAATTAGTATTAGAAAACACTTAGTAGTTTGCATTTCAAAGGTTCCATTTTTACATAGTTATCGTCAATCTAATGACTTCTCATTTAATTCTTATTGACACTTATTTGTGAGTTAATGTGGGAAAATGAATAAAAGCAACTAAGAGGAAGCAAGTCACTTAATAGAGGTAAGTAGTATTGAAATATAAGTTCTAGAAAATTTGTAAAGTTCCAGTCTGATCATCTAAGACAGTAGTTCTCATAGTATATTCCATCTACTTGTTGATCTGAGTGAGACTCCAAGAGTCCATGTGTTATCTGGGCTTCTCCAGAGAAGATTTACTTCAAGAATTGGAGGCAGATTCAGGAGACCAGTGCTATAATTGTACTAAGTCCCGAGGACTGAGGAGACCATGGGAGTCAGTGTAAGTCTGAGTCTGAGGACAGAAGAGAGAGCAGCACCAGAGTGTGCAGTGTTGGGCTGAACAAAAAGAGCATCATCTGATCTTCTGACTGAGGAAGCAAAGTGCATATTCTCTCGTGTTTTGACCTTGGATGGACATCTTTCTAGTATTTCTTGTAGTAAATGAGAAAACACTTCCATGTAGATGTAATGGTACGTGTCTGTTATCCCAGCAACTGGAAGAGTGGTTCTAGAAGGGCTTTATTTATTTGGTTAAGTGATAAAATCTGCTGCCATTTATCGCAGAAAATACTGGACACCATTAAGGAGAACTTAAGAGTCAAGATAGTATTATTCTGTGGCTCTTGAAATGAGAGTGTTATGTGTAAATTCTGCTTTGTACAAGCTTTGCTTTCTGAAATTTGAGAAATAGTAAAGGTTGTGATCATTTAGAGAAAACAAAACTGTCAAATATATCAGAAAAATTCATTTAGTACAACTAAGATTTATGAGTATTACAACAAAAAGAGAAAATTACTGAAAAATATATGAAGATATCTTATAGAAATGTGGTCAATGGCAGCATCTAACCAGAAGAATGTTTTAAAACGGGACATTTTTTAAGCCTGGAAGAAAAATTGCAAGGAATTCCTGGTGGATTTGTTTTATATTGATGACACACATCAATCAACAACTGACACCTGCTCATGGTGTAGAGCTTAAAAACATCTAGGTAGTAAAGAGGAGGCTAAGCAATGTGCATCCATCTACTCGGAAATATGTAGTAGGAGAAAAAGCATAGATGGTTAAAGAACACTGTACTCATCGCACAATAGGTATTTGAATGAAATAAGGTGTGATTATAAATGCTAAGTAATATTAGCGTCTACATAATAAAATCAGATGTAATTATCTAAAGGAAATTTTCGAATTTACTTTCTCATATTTTGTTAATTATATATTGTTTATTATATTTGTCATACATACGAAAGAATAACAACATTGAAATTTAAATTGTAAAATTCAGTTTTCTTGGAACTACTTCTAATGCTTATATAATTGTTTACTATTTAGAGGAATTCTAATTTGAATCTCATCTAACAAAGTAGTTAGTAGATACAGGAACTCTAATTTGAATGTAATCCAGCAAACTAGACACCCTTATCAAACCTATAATGAAGTTGTACATATAATGAAATTAGGATTTAGATGATTAACTTTCTTCATTTTCACAAAAGATGTCAGAAACAGCTCAGAACTTTTAAATTTTGTGTTTTTACATTTTTCCAATAGCATAATATCCAGTGTGGTGGTTTAGGAATACTTAGATGTCCATTTTTAAAATTTTAATGTCATTTGCTGTTTTAGTTTCTTAAAAGGAGATATGTTCATTGTTCACAATGAATTAGAAGATGGATGGATGTGGGTTACAAATCTAAGAACAGATGAGCAAGGCCTTATTGTTGAAGACCTCGTAGAAGAGGTGGTGAGTTTCATATTTCCTAAATTTCAGATCCTGAGTCTTTTATAAAAGTTTAAAACTTACCTATTTTCTGAGTTATTAGATACGGACAAATTTCTCGTGAAAGCTTTTTAACTCATAAGCACAAAGAAATTTTAAGATGTATTTGGTGTTAGTAAATGATGTTTGTTTATAAGGAAATAAACTATATTAGTATGTTATAATAGATAGCTGCCTTTGCAGAAAGTACTTCTCTACTTCTTAACTATCACTTGTACTTATTTTGTTATATTTTTGTGCTCCTATTCTTCATTAGGTATATTTGAATCAGAGGAATTTTAAATGGTTTCAAATGTGTGTATAATTTCTAATAATCTAGGAAAATTATAATTATATTACACATAAATAATCCCAAATTCATACATTCATTCATTCATCCCTTGTTTTCTTTCCTATCATATTATATATTATTTATCTTAGTACATAATAATTTATAAATTGCACCATTTATTTTTAGATGCAGATCAGCATTCAAGCAGTGTTCGTGCCTTATAGACAATACTTATAGTACCACCAAAATGTATTAAACATTGTGATTTTGGAATTGACCTTTCCTTTTAGATTTTGTTGTAGGAATGGCTTTCTGTGATCTTTAATGTCCGTGTTCCCCTGCCCCCTCCTCCCCCAAGAGTCTATGGAAGATAGCAGAATAAGTTTTTTTTTTTTGCTACTGATTCTTTTGTCTGCCTATTCTGGTAACTAGATCCTGATTCATAAGCATAAAACATGCTGAGGAAAGCTGGAAGGAGTTATGGAAGTTATACAGGATACATCCTGTATTCATAGTTATATACAAAACTAAAGATTTTGTATTATAATTTACAGTTCTTTAAATAGTGTTCAGAATTCTAGAGACACACAGGCAGAACATTCAAACTGAAGCACCTTATTATCTGTGTTAGTTCTCCTATAAACTTTTAGGTTTTGTTTACGTTAGGCTTCCTTTTGCCTGTTATACTACCCTTCTCTATTCTGATTATGGAAGGGAGTGAAAATATATTTGTACTTTAACTGAAGTATTAAATTTCTGGATCAAAATTAACAAAATGAACTTTAGTAAGAACATATAAAGGTTAGAAAGTGTCTGCAGAAGAATAATAAAGAATAGCTCAGTATAGGATAAGGGGACATTACCTAACATGAACACAGAGAATGAAACAAAAAAAGTTAATTCATTATAAAAGAACAGTGTGCTGTGGTAGCTAAAAGGGAATATAGTCGTAATGCAAATTATTCATTCTAAGAAGTATAAGTGGTTTTTACTGTGATATTTAGTATAATTTTACACAGTGGGTTTATTGGAAGTTAGTGAATTCTTTGCAGATTGAAAAGCTGCTTGGACAATGTCTAGATAATGAAGATGTGACTGGTATTCTCCTCTCTGAAATTCTAACTAGAATTCTCTAAGCACATTCACATTTTTAAGTCTGCTTGTGGGTTGTATGCTCCAGGAAAGGGCATCTTTTTCTTGTTGGTGTTGTTCTGAGTCACTGATAGATCCCCATTGCCTAGATTACTCTGGCATCTGTAAATTTTGAGTAGATGAGTGTAATGTCTCTATGCCTATAAGGGTCCTCTTCTTCACACTCTTGGCCTGTTAGGTTGCCTTGCAAAACTTAATTCATTGTTACTAGCTCACTTCAATTGTCACCCTCTTTTTTTTTCCCCCCAGAGAGTTTGTTTCTAGGTACTTTTTTTTAGGTCAGATTGTTTGTTTTCACAGTACTCATTGGTTCTATATTCCATTGTACTTAAAACATTATTATATAGACCACTTTTTAAAAAGAGGGTAATTATAATACTCATTTTGTTCCTTATAGTAAGCATTCATTGACTTTGATTTTAGTCTGACTAAATACTTAGTGAGGAACTAATTAAGAGAAGTCCTTGCTAATATTTTTTTCTTTCATTATCAGTTCATTGAAAACTCACTGTAAGCTGCTACAACTATAGTTCAGTATATACTCAAGTGTTTGGGGTGGTGGTGATGTTATAGAGAATAGCTTAGAATTTAATAAGATTCCACTATTTTGGAATGAATAATGTTAGAATAGCTTTAAAACCTGGAGTACAGACTCGAGTAAGATAAGGTTTAAAAGATGGCAGAAAGAGAGTGGTTGCATGTTGTATTCCACAGAAAAGGAAGCGCTCACATTTTAGGTTCAAATATTTGACTGTAAGGAGGTAGGATTTGAGGTAGTTTTGCTTAATGGCTTGGTTCTTTAAAACAGGTAGGTAGCAGTGAGTTGAGAGGACATTCTGATAGCACTTACCACAACAGAACGCAAGCCACAGAAGAGAGGTGAAATAGATGAGCAAAGGCGTAGTTACATGTGTCCTGGAAAGTGGGTAGTATAAGGCAGGAAGTACATACTTGAGGCCTATGGTTAAGGGCGTTTCTTGGAAAATGAGGAATCTGTAGGCAGGAAAGAGGGTAGTAAAGGCTTGCTTTAAAGGTGTGTCCATTGGGTTTGTCTATTCTTATGTGCACATCTACAGTTGACACTGAGGAATTCAGAGAGGTTGGAGGGGGTAATTATACTGTAGTTGGGACTACTACCTTGATAGTTTATAAGAAAAGAAGAAAGGGTCTGATTTAAATGACGACAACATGGAGAAGAGTGAACAGAACTACATGGTAGTTCTTGAACGGAAACATCTTTTCTCCTAATAACTATGAAAAGTATTGTGGAGATAGTTTTGAAGATTGAATTCTTAGGAATTTTCATGAAATTGGATTAAGATTTAATTTCATAAAATTAAAAATTATGCTGTCTTAATCTCTTCCCTTTAGGGCCGGGAAGAAGATCCACACGAAGGCAAAATGTGAGTTTGTATTAATTATGAAAAGGAGAAACAATAATGTAAAATTGTAAATTAGAAAAATAGTCAAAAATACTTAATGAATTTTAGACTGATGTATTTTTTAAATTTGGTTCAGAGAACTGATATATACTTCTTAAGAATCTAGTACTAAATTCTTAGTTTTACGCTAACAGTAGCCTCTATCCCCAAGCTAAAGCCCTGTCAGTAAACATTATGTTGCATCTTAATGAGCAGTACCGCTCCTCCTATTCCCTCATTTTCTTACTAATTATAGTAGTTCTTATTTTTGTGACCAATCATTAATGAACTTTTAAACTCAGTTTTTAGTATGCATATGTGAGAGAACTTGTGATAATTTTAGTATAAACAAGCAAGGTCTTTTAAAATAAGCCTTTTTGATTCCTTTTATGTGTATAGAATTCCTTTTAAAATCTTAGCCTTCAATCACATTCTATTTTATTCATATTATTTCAATAGTGTGTTCATCTATTGTCTTTTCAGTTCATGTTTTTCTTAATCAACTTGTCAGCATTTATGGATGGTATTTAAAGCTTGCCACAAATGTTTTTTCTTGTTCTTTAGCCATCAGAAGAGGAAGTACATTAAACTGAACATTCAACGTGTAGTTCTTTTATTATCTTTTTTATTAATAGACTATATTATATCTTACAAGTACATTCTCTCTCTCTCTCTTTTTTTTTTTTTTGATTTTTCGAGACAGGGGTTTCTCTATGTAGCTTTGTACCTTTCCTGGAACTCGCTTTGGAGACCAGGCTGGCCTTGAACTCACAGAGATTCGCCTGCCTCTGCCTCCCGAGTGCTAGGATTAAAGGCGTGCACCGCCGCCGCCACCACCTGGCAGAGTACATTCTTATATTACTACTCCATATGGATACAAGTGCCTCCATTGCTTAACTCAACCTATTTGATTGTGTTTGAAGTCTGTATCAACAGTTTCAAATTCTAGTTAATGCTTAGGGAATCAGATTCAGAACAAAAGTAGATTGGAGATTGTGTGTGTGTGTGTGTGTGTGTGTGTGTGTTTGTGTGTGCGCGCGCGCATGTACGTATGTATATACATATATTCCCATTTTTCTCCCAACACAAAAATCCTGATTTTCATTATATAACATCTTGATAGAGATCATAGTGCAGAGAATCATTTCTTTCCCTCTTGTCAGAGGACAGCAGCCTGAGTGGTAGCAAATGGCAATTGATATTAATTGTTTAATATTACCGATTATGAGAAGTAGAAAACTTGAAAGTTTTTTGCATGTCTTAAGGTGAACACTCTGTCTAGTTAATATGTGCAAGAATGTGAATTCATAGGGCAAGTAAGATGGCTCAGAAGGTAAAGGCATTCACACACACACACACACACACACACACACACACACACCACACACTAAATGAATCTGAGTTCAATATTATGAAATCCTTTAGATTTTCAAGAGAAAGTGTAAATTCCTCGTGTCCCTGTTTTAAGAGTACAGATCTACAGATGCCAGTAAATGTTTAAAACTTCACTCATTTTTCAATGTCAAGTATAAGACTTCACTGGGAAGTTTTCTGTTAATACATTAATCTTATTTTTTCTGAACTTTATGTGGTATTTAGCATAAGTTAAATTTTATGTTGATTTATTTTATGTATGTGCTTACTCTTTAGTATTTAAAGCAGAGACTCTGGCAGTGAAGTATTGGAAATATTTTAAAGTATCCTTTAGGCACAATGAATTCCCTTTGAGATTAAATAGCCAGTATGACTGACTAAGTGTCTTTGTACTCCATATTTTCTGTGTAGGCAATACTAAGTTTTAATAATTATTTTCTTCTAAAATATTTATTGAGTATGTGCCTTCTTTTCAGTCATAAATAACTTTATTATATTCATTCTTAGTAGTATCTGGTATAACAGCCAACTTCTGCTAGGCACTCCAAATCATTAGTCTCCTCACATTCTCTGTTCTAATACTTAGAGTTCCTGTCTCCTGTACCCTTTATTAGTCTTATCACCTCACTCTGCCCTTTGTAAACCTTTCTGGTGCATGGCTTTATTTTTTATCTTTGTGTTTTACTAAGCTGCTTCCCAGGTGAGAATTACCCTTCAGTTGTTTATGTAGTTATCTAATTTAGTAAATTCACGTTCAGTGAATCTTAATGTTGTTCCTTACATATGCTGAAGACTTGTGCCTTTTTCCATTACTCTCCAAACTCCCCAGCATGTACTCATCACTGTACTTACTGTAGTTTTACTCTGTTTTATCCTAACCAGAGCCTGAACTTGTTAAGAGTAAGGACTATTATGTTGAGTACAAATCATGTACTTAAATTACATCAGTTTTATACAAGAATAACTCTAGGAAATAATATTGCCCCCTTGCCTCGAGGTTATTTTCTTAAAGTTCAAAATATTATTCATCTTTAAAACTTAACTATTCTTTTAAAACTCTTTGGGTTTTATTTTTACTGGATAGAAAACTTTAGGGTTGGTCTTGGATGCCATCTAGCCGGCTCTCCGAGAATATAGAAATCCACTCTAGCATGTATAGTAAATGGTAGTTTAGCATTTACTTGAATGCAGTGTATAGTCTCATACATTTTAGAGCATTCTAGACTGTATTGTTTATTTCCTCTTCATTATTCATGTCTGCTCAGAGAGCATCAGGAAATTTGAATTAATAAGCTAATGGTTGGAATAATTTCTTTAAAGATTAATTTTTCATTTACTTGAAAATTAAGTAGTATTTTAACTTTCCCTAGTAATGGAATGATTAATGAAGCAGAATGAACGACCTTTAAGCCTGTTGCATTGCATCTTAGAGCACTCATGTTTTCTGTCTTGTCGTATGTGTCCTTTACAACTGGAACTTAACTCATTACTACAAGTCATTGTAGACAGACCTTAAGAAGATGCAGCAGAAGTGGTAGAGAAGTGATCTGAGATTACCAGTGAGAGACAGTGGGATTTCATCTAAATAAGAGGAAAAACTTCAGGACTTTGACTTTTAAATGAATGGATTTATTTTATTTTTGAGACAGGGTCTTATTATATGGTCCCAGCTGGCCTGGATCTCACTGTGTAAACCAAGCTGGCCCATATTTATAGTCATCTTTTCCTCCCAAGTTCTCAGATTAAAGGGATGCACCACCACTCCTGATCCTTAAGTAATTTTTTAAACATGTCATTTTATGTAAAGGTAAATACTAAGTACTTGAAATTTCATTGTGCTATATTTTCAGCTATTACAGTTTATAATAATTTCTAAATGCTTAATTCCAGAATACAGATTATAAAATTCTTTAGCATTCCAGTTTGATAGACTATTAGCTCAGAATTAAAAATCGGTTGAGTTCTTTCTGTTGGTATGTACTTGTTCTTTAACATTTTAATTTTATTGGTAAAGATCTTATGTTAAAAGAAAATTAATTTTGAGAGAGACATGAGAAAAATAATTTGGTTCTGCCTTTTATTATCTCCCCTATCCCCTACAAGCCGTCCAAGGGAAAATGGAGCTGTGATATAAGCATGTAACAGATACTACTAGAACTAAAACTCTAGAACTAAAACCAGTATTTTTAAAAATATTACAATTAATATGGAAATTGTAGTTTAAAATTTTACTTGACATTTCCTAGTTTTTCTGTACTTTGTTGAAATAAAGCACAGTAAGCTTCTAAAACACAATAGAAATGTAATGGATGAAATGTGATCATTTCTATTACATTTATTTCATGTCAGTATGAATTATGAAAATTTTGCTTACTTTTGAGTATATGAAAGCATCAGCATGTGGACTTTTAATTTACATGTCATGTTTGTTCTCCTTTAAAGATGGTTCCATGGGAAGATTTCCAAACAAGAAGCTTATAATTTATTAATGACAGGTACCTTTGTATTCTTCAATGTCTTTATTGATAAAGTATAAAATTGAAACAACTTTTTTTCATGTACTGTGCTTTCCTTTACTATTTGATTAATACTTATGCATATTGTATTTTCTTTGCGATGCTTGGAAACCGGTATTTTTCTGGTTTTGTTTTAGGTTAAAATGTACATGTCTAATAAACTCTTGTGAAGTATATTTTTCTTCTTCCCTAGCCACTGTCCCTGTTTCCTTCCCCATGTGTTACAGCTTATGATCTTGTGATATATAATTTTTGTGTAGCTCAGGGCTATCCTACATATAATATACTTAGAAGAATACATAATATACTTTTTAATGTTAAGAAATATATTAAGAAAACATTTCATATTTACAAATACAAATTCTTGTCATTCTTTTTATTCATCATGTGAGTTCTAGTCTACAAATACCATATAACATGCAATGTATCAATAGAGGAATACCGTGTTACCATTCTTTTTCCATTCATTTATAATGTACTTTTTTTTCCCCCTCAAGACAGGGTTTCTCTGTGTAGTTCTGACTGTCCTGGAACTCGCTCTGTCCTCGAACTCACAAAGATCCACCTGCCTTTGCCTCTTGAGTGCTGGAATTAAAGGCATGCACCAGTATACATTCTTGTATTATTTGTGTGCATGGTGGAATTACATAATTGAGCCTTATTTAAAATGCATTCCTAACTTTTCTGATTGTTAGAGGAAGATGCAAATTAAGTTTACTTGCATTAAGCGTTTATTATTTAAAGCAACAGTTCTCAACCTATGGATTGTGACCCCTTTGACAAACCTCTCATCAAAAATATTCATTACAATTGCTAACATTAGCACAATTACATATATGAAGTAGGAATAAACTAACTTTATAGTTGGGATGGGTCACCAAAACATGAGGAACTATATTAAAGGTTGCAGCATTAGGAAGGTTGAGGACCAGTGATTTAAAGTAACAACTATGTTACTTTGCTCTTTATTATTTACTTTTCATTGTGAGGTTAATTTAACTATCAGATATATATTAGTAAACTATATTTGACAGAGATTGTTGACAAAATCAATTTATTATATATATTTTAGATGTTGTGGTTCTTGAAAAATTGGTAGTTCCTGTATTTTATAGGGTACCCTGAAATAGGTAACTATAGCAAATAAATACTAATTGTTAAATATGTTGCCTTAGTTGTTTTAAGATGTATCATTACATCTTAAATCAGTGATTTATTCACATATAGGATTTGAGGCTGTTTTTGAAGTGCTTAATGTTTTAACCTGCACTAAGTAGGTTCAGAAGGAGTTTAAAATATGCCAGTGCTAGACCTAGAGATCAAGTTTAAACCAGAGTGTTATGTCATCAGCTTTTCAGGTGGAACCAAAAAAATTCATTTTAGTTAGTTGTTGGTGTAGGTTTATATTTAGATATTGAATCACCAAGTACTTGTATCCATTATTTTTTAGATGTCAAAGCATGAAAAGAGCCAGGCAGTGGTGGCACACGCCTTTAATCCCAGCACTCAGGAACAAAGGCAGGCAAATCTCTGTGAGTTCAAGGCCAGCCTGGGCTACAAAGCAAGTTCCGGGAAAGGCAAAAAGCTACACAGAGAAACCCTGTTTCGAAAAAAAAACAAAAAACAAAAAGAATCTAAACATTTCTCACATTAGTTTGTATTTTTGTTTATTCCTATACTCTTTTAGAAAGAGTGGACACTTTACCGACACTACACAAGCACATTCATGTACAAATTTGCACATGATTCTTATCTTACATTGAAGAAGAAACAGAGTATCAGCATTGTCACCCAGAATTTACTTTATCATATATTAAATTGCACAGTTTGCACAGGTTTTTATTATTTACTTATGTATTAAGCTGAACTTTGAAAACTCAATATAAGATTTACTTTTTACTTCTTTGTATCGAACACCAATACAATAGCAAGAGTCTAAGCTAGATGATTTGAGCTATTACTCATTTATACAAGAATTACATGTGATAATTGGGTTAGTTATGCTTTCTTACAAGAGTCAATTCCTAATCTTTCTGTTAACCAGTATTTAACCACAAAGGAAACATTATGGTATTAGGAATCATTGCTAATTGGAGATAGTCTTTTGTGTGCACCTTTTCAGGATGATACCTAGTGAGTAAAATATTTGATGTGTTTATTGATTATGATAATATACTCAGATACTTCAGTTATTTTGAACCTACCTTTGTAAGCACTTATACTGCTATATAACCGTTTGCTTTTTAATCATTATTGGAAATCCAGAGAAAGTTTAGACTATTAGGCAAAATGAGTTTAACTTTGAAGACTTTATTTAGGAGATTACCATATGATGTAATAGTTTGAGTTTCTTTAGGAGATTACCATATGATATAATAGACAACTTGCTGCAGACTTTCAGTTCCATAGGTTTAGGAAATAAAACTAGTTAAGATAAACCAAGAAAAACATGAGTGGTTGTAAAACATAAAATGAAAAGAGGAAACCCTGTCTTAAAGTTTCATGATAAAAATTTACATGTGGTTATGACTTTGAATATATTTCCTAATTAGATTACTTAACATATTTTCTTTTTATTTGGTAGAGTATAAAGCTAACAACTTAATTTTTACAGTTGGCCAAGTCTGCAGCTTTCTTGTGAGGCCTTCAGATAATACTCCTGGTGATTATTCCTTGTATTTTCGGACCAATGAAAATATTCAGCGGTTTAAAATTTGCCCAACACCTAACAACCAGTTTATGATGGGAGGCCGATACTATAACAGGTAAGTTATGAAACAGTTTAAATTATCTTTTAGTTGTGGCAAAAATAGTTGGACTCAAAATATATTAAACTTCCTCAGTTTCTAATATAATATCTGTAGTCTTATCTGAGAGTGCTTTAAACAGTATCAAACATGAATATTAATACTTGTCAACTCCCAAATATCTTGTTTAATAAAATATTTATGTATAAGCTATTTGTAGATAATTCCCTGATTTTTACAAATGCCATGTAATTGGCTTATTCAAGAAGTTGATACTTTTTGTGTGTCGTGATTAGTTTGTACCTCTCAACTAATGAGAAACTTTGTCTTTATCTTAAAACTCATAATGAATTGTAGTTGCTTGCTTAGGAAAGAAATTAGTAGAGGAAACTGTGATACAGAGTGGCAGTGTTCTTCTGGAAAAGAAAAGATAATAGAGAGAGTACTATTGTTTCTTCTTTGGGGGACTAGCATAATCTTGTTTTTAAAATAAATTTACCTGCTTAGCTTGTTAATACTGCTCTAGTATTCCCCATCTCAATTAGAATTCCCTAAATTCCAGTCTAAGTTTTAAGTTCATAAAGCTTCAACAGCTGACTTATCTAGAAAAAACAAAAATTTAGTGATAAGGTTTTTTGCTTATCAGAAGTTTAGTGGACCGTTAAAAAAAATTAAATGAAAGATATAATTTTAGATGTTTGCCCACCTTATCTTATTAAGCTACTGAGTACCTTGGTTTTAGACATCTTCACCTAGAATCTAGTTTGCTAGAGTTTCAATTTGCCTTAAATTAGATTTTACCATTATCAAGGTTTTGGGAGACTTGAAACATACATTTGAAAGTATGCACATGCAACTAAATTACTAAACATCAAGATTGAGATTTTTTTTCCCTTTTAAAGATTGTCTTAGTTAGGGTTTAATTGCTGTGCAGAGACACCATGACATTTAACTGGGGCATGCTTATAGTTCAGGAGTTTAGTCCATTACTGTGTCAGAAAGCATGGTGGTATGTAGGCAGACATGGTATTGGAGAGGTAGCTGAGAGTTCTATATTTTGATCCACAGGCAGTAGAAGAGAGTGATGGCCTGGCTTGAGCTTCTGAAACCTCAAAGCCCACCCCCAGTGACACCTTTTCTCCAACACTCTTAATAGTGCCATGCTCTGAGTCTTGGGAGCCATTTTCATTCAGGGATGATACTACAGGGATGATTTAATTTACATAGAATTATTTATTTTGAAGGTTGTTTTAATCTAAACTTCTTTATCTCTGCAAACATGGAAAATCTTTTTATGAACTGTGGGCTCTTGGTAAGATATATAAAGGTAGTCTTTATAATTAGAGACCACAATGGAACAAGAAGAAATAATTCAGGGACTTTTTATAATTTTTACAAAAGTATTAGTGTGCTTGCAAAATGGTATTCAATACGGTCTCTACTACTCCCCAAGTTTGACTTCCTGACTTTTTTTCCCTATGGATATATTAATTTTAAAATGCTCAGGTACCTTGTTTCTGGTTTTGTTTGTTTGCTTAATTCTTAGAATGAAATTGAAGGCTGACAAGATAGCTCAGAGAGTCAAAAACCAGATTCTATGCAAGTGTGACACCATGAGTTTGATTGCTGGAACCCATGGTGAGAAGAGAGAACTCATTCTCAAAAGCTGTCCTCGACCTCTAGACACATGCCATGGTACATACATGCTTTCATGTACCCAGAATATAAAAATAAAAAGAAGGCCAAAATTAAACATAGAAAAAAAGCATTATTAGTAATATTTCCTAGGAAGTAATTGAAAAGAAAACACATTTTTTTCTGTTACTTAGATATGAATATCCGATGCAATATTCATGAAATCTAACAGAGGCATACTATGGTATTCTGTTTTCTCTTTAGATTTTTGCTGTTTCCTAAGTAACTATTGAGCTACAGCTTTGACACAACTTTAGAAAAGGAGAGGCCTTTAGCACCAAACTGAATTCAGCATACACATATTGACTAATCTATTTAGTGACATTTGCTGCATAAAAATTAAAGGACAAAAAATACCATTTCTACATTATTAGTGCCCTGAACTGTTAGAAAAGATGGTGTTCAGGTTGTAATAAATTGAAAGAAAATACAAATAGGCATGGAAATCACTAAAAAGACTATAATTTAGGTAATGGTAAAAAGGTAGTGGGATTTTAGTAAGACATTGAAGATTAACACTTGTGTAGTTTAAGAAGAGATGTACATGGTTTTATGTAATAGGTACTCAATTAAAGTACATCATGTGTCTTTAGAAATTCGTTTTATGAATAAGTACTCTTCCAGTGGCTGCAGTAACTGAAGAAATGGCTTTCGCTTATGTAGCCACTATTGATTGCCTGTCAACCCCCAGCGAGGGGTGTCCCTCATGAGCCCTCCCTTCTCCATCTCAGGGTGTTTGAGTCTTGGCAGTGGTGTGCAGTTAATAGTTGATGATGGTTCACGAGTGCAGTGGTCATGCCATCTCTGGACGACAGTCTACACCGCTGCACCCTTCATTCAGTTTCTACATGCTTTCTGCCCCCCCTTCACAGGGTTCCCTGAGTTTTGCAGGGGGAGACAAGATGTCAGATTATAGCTGAATGTTCAGCAGACAGTGTTGTGAGTCTCAGCAGGGTCTGTTTTGCACTGTAAAAAGAACCTTCTTTGACAGATCTGGCAACAGCACTGACCTGTGGGGATGAACATAGTTATTTAGAAGCCTGTCCTGGTACTGTATAGACCAGTCTTTCTTTGCTTGAACTTCCCAGAGCTCGTTTTAAGGCGTGTGCTCCTTTGTTGGCTTGGGAATGTGGATGTGCATCATGTCCACTCCACAGAACGGCAGCTGTAGTGTCTTCCCTGCTAGAGCCTCTGATGCTGCAGCCATGGGCTTGGTCAGCTTTTCAGTACCAGAAGTGTTTCCCATGAAAAAAGGGTTGGTTACCCCTGTAGTAACAGTTGCCTCATAGGTTGGCAGTGTGGCACAGGGGTCCATAACTGAAACTTAACAATCCCCCGCATACACTTGCATAGCAATTTCTAGAACTGTGACAGGGAAACATCAGGCAAGAAGCTTCCAGATTTGTTTTCATTTTATTTCTCTGTGTTAAAGGTGTGGTAGTTTCAGAACTAGAAGCTTCTCATGTAGTTCTCATGGTCAGTCACCAGTAGAGGTGATAGCCTGTATTGTTGGGGCCTTTAAGGGAAGCAGCCCCTGTTGGCACTGTAGTTTTGATTTCATAACCTGTAGTTTCTGACGGCAGGTTTTTCCGCCCACACAGGGTGCTTCCATTTAAGATTTTTAAAATTTAATTTTAAACTTTCTTACCAAGGATCATTTATATAATCTTAAAACATTTTAATTGTACAAAGATTGAGTTTCACTGTGAAATTTCCATGCCTGTATTTATTATGACCTGATTACATCTACCTTCCCATGCATCCATAGATACTTTTTACCTTAAAACAGTCAGCTTTGTGACGATGTCCAGCTGCTTTCTGTTCTTCCTGATTTTCATTTCTCTTTAAATAATTTTAGATTTATCCTATTTTCAAAATGTATTATCTTCCTAAAAAAATCTTGTTTTCATTCCACCTTTCTACTGTGTGTTAATACTTAGTTGTATTTATAGTTATTTTTTATTGATCTTTATATTTTATTTTTGAATATTATATTTAATTTAAATTTTGTAGTGTAGGAAAGATACTTGAAGCTCTGTGTATATATATACACACACAATATAGTATGGCAGTTACTCTGTCACTCTGAAGAACTCTTGGAAGAATAAATCAAGAGGCAGGTTAGCAAAGTCTTTTTGGAGACATATTTCTTGTGTGTCTTAAAAATACCCCTCCATTTAGTATATAAAATGAAAGTTTAAAATTCTAGAAATTAAATTATCTAGACATTAATTTGAACTATTAATTATAGAATATACTTTTATTTATTACAAAAATATTTGGTGGCATCCTAAACTGTGTTGTATTATGTCATTTTTACTTTCAGTTTCATTAGTAACATTTCCCAAATATATAGAAACTTTGTTGGTACTTTTTAATCAAAGTCTCTAATCCTTCCCTGCCACAGTGACAACTGTACAGGCAAAGTTCTGCTAGTGTCCCTTTTTCTTCTTTTGACTTGTCTTTTCACCTAACTGTGGTGGTATTGTGTTCCCCAAAAAATATTTTGCACCCTAATAAACTTATCTGGGGTCAGAGACAGAACAGCCACTATATTAAACATAAAGGTTAGGCAGTGGTAGCACATGCCTTTAATCCTAGCATTCCAGAGGCAGAAATCCATCTCTTCAAGGATACAGCCAAGCATGGTGACTCACACTTTTAATCCCAGGGAGTAGTGGCAGATAACAGAAAGATATATAAGGCGTGAGGACCAGAAACTAGAATCATTTGGCTGGTTAAGCTTTTAGGTTTTGAGCAGCACAGTTCAGCTGAGAGCCATTGGGATGAGAATATAGAAGCTTCCAGTCTGAGGAAACATGACCAGCTGAGAAGTTGGCAAGGTGAGGTAGCTGTGGCTTGTTCTGTCTCTCTGATCTTCCAGTGTTCACCCCAATACCTGGCTCAGGTTTGATTTTATTAATAAGAATTTTTAAGATTCATGCTACACCTAACTACTCACGTGTTAGGACGTAATGATAATATAAGCAAAAGCAAACGTATGTGTGATTTGATGACAGAAGTTCTTAGTTTATCATTCGCTAAATAAATGCCATTTCTGTTAGTTCCTCGTATGTCGGAAGGATTGTTTTTTTCAGTAAACCAAAAGCCATAACTTGTAATCATTTTCTCACTGAATGTCGTCACTTTCTGAGTATGAAATGTAGTATCATTGACTTGGCTGTGTGTTTGATACGGAACCACAATCTTTAGCTTACATATTCTAGCTTGCAAACCTGTATTTGGAATATCTTATTTTTTTATAAAATAATGTGACTATTATGATAGTGTATTCTATGAATTATTCAGATTTTATGCTTTCAAAAACTACTTATGAATAGATAATCCTTGGTAACATGGTTTACTTATATTCTAAGAAATTTATACAGTTATTTATTTTAACAGTATTGGGGACATCATAGATCACTATCGGAAAGAACAGATTGTTGAAGGCTATTATCTTAAGGAACCTGTACCAATGCAGGTCAGTGTTATTTTTTTCTTGCTTGAAATAATTAGCATCTTGTTTTAAACATGGTTTTTGTGATGGTTATATAAATATTGATTCTGCTCAAACTAGATAAAATTTAAAGCTATGGATAATTTAGATTTCTTTAGGAAATAAACTCTAAGAGAATTTTTTACTTTTCAATTATATTCACTTTAGATAATTTAGATAATCAGTAGATACCAAGTAAGTCCTGGTAGCTTATTTCTCTGTCTTTGGTTTTTATTTTTATTACATTGTTCTTAGACAGTTTTACACAGGTGTTCATGCCTACTATTATTTCTCACCTCTTGTTCGCCCTACCTCGTCCCCAAAAATACCTCTCATTCTGTCTATTAATTTTGTTTTGTGACCCACGAGTTTAACCAGGGCTATCTACATAACCATTTGTTTGGAGCTGTTCCTTGGAGTCATGCTGTGCTCAAGAGTAGTATCACAAGTAAAGACAGTGATTCTCCCAGAATCTGTCAATAGATCAGAGGTATAGAGTAGTACATAGTGAGTCCCTCCGCATTCTGTGATTGATTGTTGATAGGACCAGTCTAATGTGGACTCAACATCGATAATTACAGTTGTGGTGAATTGATAATGGTTGCAGTGGTTGTACTGAGTCTAGAGGATGGCATTTGTTGCCTTCATCCCTGCTGCCAGGGCTCTCACATCTTTTCTGCTTCTGCATAGAAATGACTCCTGAGTGTTAGAGTGGGTGGTATAGTTTTCTGTGTGTTCCCCTCCCCCTCCCCCACAGACCTGGGTTGTTTGCCAGGCTTATAGTACTTGGTACCTATGGAGAAGACAGAATAACACTAGGGAAAGGAGTGAATCCTTTTTAGGAAAAATGGAGATGGCATGGTTTTCACAGCCAGTTTTATATAGGTTAAAAAAAAAATGGATGGAAGAGCCAGGTGGTGGTGGCGCACACTTTTAATCCCAGCACGCGGGTGGCAGAGCCAGGCGGATCTCTCTGAGTTTGAGGTCAGCCTGGTCTACAGAGCAAGATCCAGGACAGGCACCAAAACTACACAGAGAAACCCTGTCTCGGAAAAAAATAAACAAACAAACAAAATTGATGGAAGAATATTAAGGCCTAGAGAAGTTTAAATTTTTTATTACTTCATTTGCCTATAGTTTTTGTTGCTTGAATCTTGGATTGTCTCATAATAAAATACCCAGAGCCAGATATTGAGGTAAAAGATGAAAGATCAGAGAAGCAGAGCAGGCCACAGCCACCACCTATTATTACCTCACCAACTCCAGGCATCCTCTGATTGAAATCCTGAGTCCTCACATGAAAGGATCTCAGCTGAACAGCTTTAGTTCCTGTTTCCTCACGCCTCACATACCTTTCTCTGCCCGGCCATGTCACTTCCTGGGACTAAAGGCGTGTGTGCTTCACAGTACTGGGATTAAAGGTGTGTGCCACCACTGCCTGGCTCTGTTTACAATGTGGCTCTGAACTCACAGAGAATCAGATTCTTCCTATATTTCTGTCAGTATTCTGTCAATCTAGATCTAACTAGTTTAAATCAGCTTTGAGTTTCTATTCTTTCTTGACAATCTTCTATTAATTGATCAACACAAACACTCACTTTAGTTAGCAGATCTGAGAGACCTTAGCTGCTAACTGCTCTAGGTACTGCTGTATAAGACAGTCACTTCTAAAATACAACCTTGTGTGGTGTCTGTTTTTCTAGAAAGTACTGCTGAGATCTTTTATTAGTGGTTAGTAACCCAGATCATGCATGTTATATCCTTAGTTCCCAATTGGCTGGTTGAGTTAGAAATGATTCTAGTTTGTCTCATAAATTCACAAGTTTTGTGTAGAAATTAAGTAATAAGATATTCCATCCTCAATTGGTACTTTTAATTTTCTAATTTAATTTTTTATAGTTAGAAATGGAAACCTGTAACATAAATTAGTATATGATTTGTTTCATGTATTTAGTGTGCTTAACTCTTATAATAACCAAAGAAACCTAAAGTTGCTATGCTTTGCATAAATTTCTACAAAGAGTTGAATGCCTTGAAAAGGGTTACTATGAAACAAATGTATTTCTATAAAAGCAGTTAAATGTTAGTGATAGTCTTGGAATGAATTTAGGTTTCAGCAGAAGTTTGAAGAGTCAAAACATACAAAGGCTAATAATATCCTTTTTCTAATGAACAACCTGACCAGCTGGCAGAATCAGTTCAGTCCTCCCCTCAGTGGCACCCTGTATACCCAGACATTAGCTAAAATAGAAACAAGCAAGTCCTAGAACTGCTTCCTGGAGAAGACACTAGAAGGAAGGAGCTGGCGAGATGGCTCAGTGCGCAAGGTGCTTGTCCTTGAGCCTGACTGCCTGAGTTCAGTCCTAGGCAGACTCCAAATTGTCCTCGGACCTCTACATGTGCACTGTGCCATGGGAACAACCTCTTGGTCCTAAACAGAAAATAAATAAAAGCATTAAAAAATATAAAATTATAAGCCAGAACAACCTAGATGCCCGTCAACTGAAGAATGGATTAAGAAAATGTGGTACATTTACACAATGGAGTACTACTCAGCAGAGAAAAACAATAACATCATGAAATTTGTAGGCAAATGGGTGGAATTAGAAAATATCATCCTGAGTGAGGTAACCCAGACTCAGAAATACAAACATGGTATGTACTCACTCATAAGTGGATACTAGATATAAAGCAAAGAACAATCAGTGGATACTAGATATAAAGCAAAGAACAATCAGACTGCAACCCACAGAACCAGGGGGACTATATAGCAGGGGGGACCCTAGGATGACTGTGGCTTACAATAAGTTTTGGTTTTACTCAATTACTGGGCAAGCCTCAATGAAATATTTCACTATTAGGATAAGAATTTATACTGTATCAAGCTGATAATAGAAAAATAAATAAATAAAAATGAAAAAAGTTTAAATTAAAAAAAAAACCTTCTGAATACGTTTTAGGTATTTTTCTATGCATACTAATGAATTATTCCAACAGTTTGGTCAAGTTAACACTCTAATCATGCCTGTTTTATAAATAAATAACAAAACTTAAACTAGAAAGGCTAAGTATTTCTCAATATACTTAGCCTTTCCCCTGTTCACCATGTCAGGTCTGTTGGGAGCGTCCTTCTTACTCAGAACATGAACACCACGAAAAATATTGATTTATTTCACTGTGAGTGCCTCTTCCCCCTTAAAACATAACAGTTGGAGTTGTCCATTTAAAATGTGAGTTGGAGCTGGGCGGTGGTGATGGCACACGCCTTTAATCCCAGCACTTCTGAGGCAGAGCCAGGCGGATCTCTGTGAGTTCAAGGCCAGCCTGGTCTACAGAGCGAGATTCAGGACAGGCACCAAAACAACATGGAGAAACTGTCTCGAAAAACCCCACCAAAAATAAAAAAATAAAAAAAAAAATGTGACTTGGGTCCATTATTATGTTTAGTACTTCAAGATGGTCACTATTTCAGAATAAAAGATAAAATCCCTTTTGTGGCAGACAAAACATTCTATACTGATGTTTCTGTATTCCTGACCTACCTTATTCTACTGTCCTCATCTGTTTCTGAATTCATATTTTGGTCCTGTTTGAGATTTATAAATACAGTAGGCTCTTTACTTTCTTTAGATCTTTGAGCTGGCTTTTCTCTCAGACATCTACTTACCTTTAGTTACTCAAAATTTTACTAAAAAATTAGCTTCACAATGAGATTTATTTAGAGACCAACACCACAGCTACTTCTGTTCTGCAAAGCACTCTACTTATTTTAACATACATTGATTGTGTATTGACTTTCTCTAATTAGAACCTACATTACTGACCTATGATTAATTCAGTGTTTTGAATTGGATTGTTGGTGTTTTCTTAGCCATTGAGTAACAGAGTCAGAATTGAAGTCTGGGTATGGTAGCCTGTAGGTTCTGTTTTATCAACTACTCTCAGGGAGGACTGTGTAAGATGAGATATCTTTGTTCAGAACTGTGTAGAAAGTGGGCCAAAATATGGAAACAGGCCTTGCTATCTATCACTCAGTGACTTATTACAACCTGCAAGTGAAGCTGCATTCTTACTCATGCCTTAGAAGATACCGGAATCCTTTGATTTGTAGGTCAGTATACCTTAATTAACTTTGGCACGAGCTGGAGAGATGGTTCAGTGAGTAAAGTGCTTGCTATTGCAAACCTGACAGCAGTTCGATTCCCCAGAGTCCACTAACCAAAGCTGGATGCAGTGTGCACACCTAGAATCCAGCACTGAGACAGTGGAGGAGGATCTTGGGAGCGCTCTGGCCAACAAGTCTTGCTTAATTGTCAAGCTCTAAATTCAGCGAAAGACAGTGTGAGAGACTGGGAAGGGTCAGTACCTTGTCCTCAAGCCTCCTTACCCACACAAACCTACGTACACAGAAACATACAACACTTATAGATTTTCTTGGAGTCATGTGTTTAAAGCTAAGCATGAATATGGTATATCGTAAATGATAAATGTACCCCATTCTACAGCTAATACACAGATTGTCACCATTGAAATAAAAATTGATGAGTACAAATTTGTATTAACCAGGAAATTAATCAATACTAATTATCATCTGAGTCTATTTTAATGTTTAGATTATTTATGTGTGTAAGTAATTTAGTATATAATATATACAAGAAATGAAAAAACCCAAATAAGTTTTAAAGAAAATGTTAGGAGTGTTTAAATGTAGCAAGTTTTTGCTTTTTATGTCCCTCACGTATAGTCATAGCTTTCTTAAGTGAGCAAGTCTTTGAAGTACAGCTACTTACTCTTCAGCTTTTCTGTGTGCAGATGGAACAAGCTGTCTTGTATATTCTGATAAGTTCTGCTTATAATTACTCTTGTTTTTATAAATACAATGCTGGTCACAAACTGTAAATATCACTAATGGGGTTTAGCTTTTCAAAACCGATACTTTTGAAAGTACTCAAGACCATTTCGTTGAAAAGTAGTATTTATTGTTCTCTAATTGTAAAATGTTTTTATACTTAGAAATACCAATTTAGAATATCCCAGTGAGTTTTTTTAATTCTATATTATATGTTTTACTTTAATGACCCTGTTATATAACTTGTTTTCAGCATTAATTCACAACCCTCATGAATAAATATGATATAAAAAAATTTAAGGAACATTAACAGTTTATATATATCATAGTAAGAGATTTGGTTATCAAAATCAATTTCCGCACAATAGAGTCCAGAGTATAGCTATTTTTCAAAATTCATTCATTGTTCTGGTAAATGTCAATATTTTCCTTTCATTTCCCCCTTACCATTCATAGCAGAAAATTAAAAAGTCTGAAGTTTTAATTAGCTGTTTTTAATGAATAATAACAAAAGGCAAGAAAATGTCCTCCTATCCCTTTTAAAGATGCTATAATACCTGACAATGCATTAAAAGCCAAGGGTTGTACAACACAGAGACTTATTTCATTATTGCATCCTTGTATCTTTAACAGGGATTGATTGGCAAAGCTTTTCTATAAAGGGCCAAGTAGTAACTTTTTAGGTTTTATGTCCAATGCATTTCAAATACCTAACTCTACCCTGGTAATTGAAATTTCAGCTACAGACAGTATATAAAGTAATAAACATGTCTGTGGTCCAGTAAAAGTTTCTGTACAAAAACGGAGGACTGGGCTTGGAGCTGTGTCACCTGATGATATAATTGAGTAGTAGCGCACTTCCCTAGCATGCAGAATTCTCTAGGTTCAAACCACAATGCCACAAAACAACAACCAAGGGAGAGAGAGAACGGGCTGAATTTAGCATGCATGCCATAGTTTGTTTCCTCTGTCTGAGGTAACTGATGCTTCTGTTTCTTACCATCTTAGTACCTGGGCATAATTGCTGAGTAAGGAAATGAAACAGCAGAATGTCCCAAAACAGAATAGAAAGGTGATTGTGAAAATCACTTAATGTTCTATATTTACAAGAAGTTGTATAGACTTTACAGAGCCTCCAAAAAATAGCTAAGTATCACAAAATAGTAGTCTTTCAAAAATAAAAGAACTGCTATAAAGAAATGGGAAGACTAAAATTTAGTTTAACATACCTTGATACAATTGAAAATGAAATTGTCTGGGAAGATGATGATTTTTTATATTCTTTGCGACATAATTCTTTAGGCAATTTAGTGATTGATGTCAGCTGTCTTATATGCATTACTAAAGCCTGTTATGTAAAACCGAGCAGTAAAAATCTAGGGCTTGGAGGAAAAATGGAGGTCAAAGTATAACATTTCATCATTGACACAATAGAATAGGAACTGAAGAGTGTGGTCTTGTTTTAAATATCCTTAATGAAAAAGAAATATGTACAGGTTATAATAAATACAGTACTTTAGTGTAAAAAAAGAGGTGAGGCCATCAAAAGTATTGAAGCAAGAGAAAGCTGTGAAGTAGTGGAAAGAAAATTATCTTAATTCAGATAGCTTATGAATACCAGGTGTGGCTATAACTATGTGCTGTATCATGTTGTGACCTGAGGGTTAAGGTGGGGATATGTCCTCATTCAACTGGTTAGTTTTCTAGTCTCACTTGGTGTTTCTCAGAGATAAAGAACATTCACCAACATGAGTTGGCTCTTAATTCACGTTGCCTCCTGATTTGCCAGTTAATTCTGGAAAAAGTAGATACTTTCAAAACAGTTTCATTTGATTTAAAATACAACAAGCTCACTGAGGTTTTGAAATAGCAGTTGTCCATGAGACATATTCTTGAGAAATGACAAACCTTTCTGAGCATTTCTTTGTGAGATTTACATTTAGATTTTAGTTATTAGAAATGTTTTACCTGCTTTTTCATTACTATTTATTTTCATAAATAATTTTAATAATGTTTCTTTACAATTCAGGATCAAGAACAAGTACTCAATGATACTGTGGATGGCAAGGAAATCTATAATACAATTCGTCGTAAAACAAAGGATGCCTTTTATAAAAACATAGTTAAGAAAGGTTACCTGCTGAAGAAGGGTAAGTCAACTTTTAGGACTAATAATTTAGGATTTTAGTGCTCACCATGTGATAAGAGTCATAAATACATATTTTTTTATAAAAAAAGTTTTTCTTCTTTTTACATACCAATCTCAGTTTCCCCTCCCTCCCTTTCTCCCACCTCCCCCATCCTACCTCTTATCCACTCCTCAGAGACAGTAAGGCCTCCCTTGGGGAGTCATCAAAGTCTTGGCATAGTAAATTGAGGCAGGACCAAGCCCCTCCCCCGTGTCAAGGCTGAGAAATGTATCCCATCCTAGGGAATGTGTTCAAAAAAGCCATTTCATACACCCGGGATAAGTCCTGGTCCCACTGCCAGGGGCTCCCCAAATAGATCTAGTCACATAACTGTCACCCACATTCACAGGGCCTAGTTCAGTCCCATGCAGGTTCCCCAGCTGACAGGCCAGAGTCCATGAGCTCCCACCAGCTTGGGTCAGCTGTCTCTGGTTCCCCTATCTTAATCTTGACCTTACTTGGTCCTGTGATCCCTCCTCCCTCTCTTTCACTGAAGTCTAGGAGCTCAGCCCAGTGCTTGGTTGTGGGTCACTGCATCTGCTTCCACCAGTTACTGGATGTAGGTTTTATAATGACAATTAGGGTACTCACTAATCTGATTATAGGGGAAGGCTAGTTCAGGCACCCTCTCCACCATTGCTAGGAGTCTTAGCTGCTGTCATCCTTGTGGATTCCTGGGGATTTCCCTAGCACCAGTTTTCTCCCTAACACCATAATGGGTCCCTCTACCAAGATATCTCTTTCATTATAGAGTCATAAATATCCATAAAACTTACTGTAAGATATAGTCATTTGTCTTGTCATTGATTATTAATAATAATTACTTGTTTAGAGCTTACACATGGCATGTTTCAAACTTTAGAGATCAGTTTAAGTCCACATTTCTAAACAGGGTTTTAGAATACGCTTGTATTCCAAGTGTATCATTAAATCCTGACTTACTTTCAGGCTCTCTCTATGGTTTCTTAGAGAAATTCCTTGTGCCACTTAGCCTTCAGGGTACTAACATTTTTATTTTATAGATCTACCTCAGTTTGACATAAAGATATTGAGGGGTAGGTGATGGTTGAAAACAATTACTCTAAGACAGGAATTTTGAGGATTTTATCATAATACAATTTCTGAAGACACAGTTAAAGTATTCTGATGAACTCCATTCATTCAGTAATTCGTTAAACAAGCAATAATAACAAAAAGCAATTTTGTATACAGGTTATAGGTATTTTGTAATTATATATGGATCTATTCTTAGAATGAAAATTGAAATATACTTAATTTTTTTTTTGTATTCTGAAAATACTATGTCTTAGCTCCTAAAGACAATTTTTTTTTTTTTTTTTTTTTTAAACAGGCAAAGGAAAACGCTGGAAAAATTTGTATTTTATCTTAGAGGGCAGTGATGCCCAACTTATTTATTTTGAAAGTGAAAAACGAGCTACAAAACCAAAAGGGTTAATAGATCTCAGTGTATGTTCTGTCTACGTTGTCCATGATAGTCTCTTTGGCAGGTAAGACACTGGTTTTCTTAAAAATTGTTTTAATAATAAAAATATTGGATATTTTCAGACCATTTGATGTATAAATCTATTTTAAGAGCATAAAATTATCTAAAATTGATGATTTTAAGGTTTTTTTTTCCCTCAGCTTTTGCCTAAGTTCTGTGTAAAATTTGACTCTGTTAGGCAGACTTCTTTGGAATAGCATTTCAGTAGTAGGACTAGCTGTTGAACTAGTTCATAAATTCATTTGACCATGTTATTCTTTCTTCCTTTGTAGAAGAAATTGTTTTAAAACCAAACAGGCTGATGGTAAGGATGAGAATCCACCCCAACACACAGTATAAAAGACTAGGGTGGGAGCACCGTGGCGGAATAAGGCCTTCCAGTCGCCATCTCCCCATGTTAATTGAAACAACCGTTCATGTACAAAAGTGTCTTCACTAGAGCTAAAGAAACCAGTTAGAAGCAGAAATAACATTGGATTTTGGAAACATAAGACAAGATTCACTGAAGGAGTCAGGATGGAAATAATATGTTATTTCCTTCCTAGCTATGAGTACAGCGGGCATGGAGTAGTAGTACAGCATGACCTGTGGCAAGAGAGAATTAAGTGTAGGCCTTAGATTTAGAACCCAGTTGAGTCCCACTTAATTAAACATTTTCCTTCTTGAAAATAAGCAATATGGCCATGGTCATAAGATTTGTCTGTAGACTTGAATACATATTAAACAGTTTTACTTTTACAAATATGAAGGCTGTAAGAAAATCCAGGGTACTTCAGCCACATGTGTTTTGTTTTTATATGAAGAAAACAGATCAGACTGTGACTGTTAGATATCAAAGAAGATTAGCTGGCCAAAAGAAGACTTATGTTAAAAATATAAGTCTGGTAGGAAATACCCTCTTTGTGGGAATAATTCTAACTTCATTTATTTATTGAATAAAGAGTGAACTTCTTCAGAAATAATGTAAAACAAAGATGTGTTCTGACAGTTGGAAAACAATATACATGTACTATCACTGTATTGTCATTTCTTGCTTCTAATGCAGAAATTGACTGTTAAGAGTATGACACTCTAAAGGTATCTTAGTTATGAATACCTAATGATACCAGGTCCAAAAACTGATATGAAAAGTTATGTCTATGGAAAAAAAAAAAAAAGGTAAAATCTCTCCTTTGAGAAAACAGATCTCTGTTCCTGAAATAGGCCAGTTAATATAAACTTTTAATATATGTACCTTTATTGGGAAGTGCCCAGGAGATCAGTAAAATGTATTTCCTTTCATGAAAGTAAAGATACCTCATTACATAACAGGACAAATGAAATTAAGTTGATACCAATTGTATGTTATTATAAAGTACGAATATCAGAGCACAAAAGGGCAAATTTGTGAATGAGTACTGTTATATTTTAGCATGCTTTGCACATTCATGCTTTGTGTGAGAACATAGAGCCTAATATATAGACTGTGGCATTCAGGTAAAGTCTAATGTGAAAGAAAGTAGTAGCTTTCTTTGAAAGGTGACTTAACTAAATATGCATGCTCTGTCTTCTGATGAAGAAATGTTGGGATAGCACTGCTTGTGTACATGTTTGCCTGCATGGTTGTGCAATTTTCCTAGTTTGTTCAGTTTCTGTGTGTTTCTTCATATTAAACTTCAGATTTTTAATAATGCTGTATGTTATATAGGAAACATTTTACTAGCTTAAGTTGAAAGTTGGTTCAGTGATAATTATTCTAATGACCATTGTTGGCAGAGTTATTACCCTTTTATTTTTTTCATAGACTGAGTCATTTACTCTGGCTGTTTTTTTAAATATAATTGAAAAGGAAAGCTATTACATTAGAAAATAAATTTTTGTTTGGCAGTTTTCTGTAAACATTATTTTTTTTTTTAACCCACTAAGTCCAATTTAATGCTGCTCATATGAACTTGAGCATGGACTCATCCACTTGAGCATAGACCACCTTTTAGTGGCTACACACCTAACCCTTCCCGAATAGCCATCAACTACCAGTAGCTCCTCAGCTAGAAGTGGGGCTTTTGGAGCCCTCCTCACTACTCCATGCTGGAATCTTAAACTGGTTTGATCTTGTGCAGGTTTTAAGTAGATAACTACTGTTGCTATGGGTTATATGCAACTGCTATGCCATGTCAAGAGGCCAGCATTTTACAACACTACTCCCCATTCTCTTATTATATTCTTTCTACCTACTCTTTATGATATTCCCTAAGCATTGGTAGAGAGAATTGATAACAAATGTCTCATGTAAGGCCAAGGAAGCATTCAGTTGCTTCTTCCCAGTACTCTGAACAGTAATGTGTCTGCATTAACCACTACCCACTGCTTTGAGAAGCTTCTCTCACCGAGTTAACCATATTGATTGCCTTCCATCCTTTTCATTGTAACTTCATTCTGCTAATGTTTGGATGAATGATGTGTGTGAAAAGCTGTGAGTAATATTACTGCTTCCAAAAGATACTGTTCTTAAAGCCTTTGGGGGGGATAAAGTGAAGATTGAGTTCAAGGTTGGGAAGGCAACCTCACTTTGCTTTGCCCTCCTTATGTGAAGACACAGTCAACTTCAAGTGTCTAACATGACAGCCTGATCTTTGAAGGACCTGGGGTCCATTTTCCCCTCCAGTGTGGGAGCCCGTTCTGGGGTTCCTCGTGGCTTTACCCAGCAGGTCCGAATAGAGGATGATCAGGACCACGGGCCTGAGTGCAGGTGTCTGAGATGGCCTGCACTTGGCTGTGCTGGGGGAGGAGGTCTTTTGCTCCACCCCTTGGCGTCTCTATAAAAACCCTGGGCCAGAGACAGTCGGGGCCCGTTGGAATAGGTTCCAGGCCCTCTCGAGGCTATCCTTTATTTTCTGTTTATCTCCTCAAGATTCTCCGCTATAAATCCTTCTATCTAATATTTCCTGCTGCTCGCACTCAAGAAAACTCTGGGAAGCTGTGGGGGTGGTGGGTAAACGCCCCACACTCCAGTCACTGAATCTCCCGGATTGGGGCTACTGTCTCAGTGCTTCTCTTGGTTTAGCACATCAGCCTCACAGTCTACGGCCTTAGGGTTGAAAAGGAAGCAGTATGGCAAAGTCATAATGAGCTTGTCTTCTCAGGTTTCCCAGTATCAGTTGTTCTGTGTATCTTCACATTGCCATTTGTTATTCCTATACTTCTTTCTGTCTGGAGGATTAATCTCAGACTATATTCAGATCAGAAATTCTTAGTTCACATTTTCTACTATTTTATGATCTTTCCAAAGCATGAAAAATGTTTTAAATTTTTAAGCAAGTTATATGATAAAAATCTTTGGCTAAAATAATATAGAAGTAATATTTACTGACTTCTGAAAACTTAAAGGTCCTTCCTTATTAAGCATTTTATTAAGATTTATCCAGTTGAACTGTAGAGTCAGATACAAATTATTAAGTATTATAGAATTGTCTTACTTTTGTATTATAAAATTGTCTTGCAAATGATTTGTGGTAGTTCATACTGAGGAAGACATGAACAAATGTTGTATACTACCTGCTATGCTATTAAACTTTAGAATAAGTGGTATAGGCGAGATGGTGTTTTTGATTTAATAGATGAAAAAAGTGATCAAGTTTGTAAAAAAAAAATGGAAAATTACATTAAAGAACATTCAAACAACTTTCAGTCTGCTTAGAGACAAGCATTAACATTTTTCCAGTAAGACCATTCCTTTTTACTTTCTATTGCATGTCCACAGTTTCTGCAAATAAGTTATGTCTAGTCCTAGAAATTCTACTTCAATTTTTATTGCTTTTCTCTTTGATATATTTTAATATTAATTTATATCTATTTTAAACCATGAAAGACTAATAAAATTTCAATATTGTAATATTTATGCACATGACATCAATCTGGCTGAATGAAATACCTGCATCTCTAAATTAAAAATTATGACAATCTTAAATTATACTTTGTATTTTTAAAGTTGGTATAAATACTTGAATATTTTTTAAGTTTCTTAATACTTTTTTTGTTTGTGTTCCAAGGCCAAACTGTTTTCAGATAGTAGTTCAGCACTTTAGTGAAGAACATTACATCTTTTACTTTGCAGGAGAAACTCCAGAACAAGCAGAGGTAAGATCGCTCTTTCCTAAACTATTGCGATCTTTGTGCTAGCCTAACTTTATTAACTAGGGTAGAAAACTACTGTGGTACAGCGTTATGAAAGTATTTCTGAAATCTTACTATTTTATTTAACAAGTGAGAAACTGTCCAAGTTTTTGTTTGTTTGTTTGTTTTTTTCTTTTTAACAAACACAGTGAAGGATTATTAGGGATAAAAAGTGACATTTAAAATTGACCATTAGATGCTCTACGAATTCAGTTTGAGGCTAATCATTTAAAATCATTATATTTCCATAAGTTAGAGATGGTCATCATATAATCCAAAATCAGGCCAGCTAGTTGTAATATTTCTAGAGGGTTTAACTCTATTTTGTACAAATATGACTTTTCTGAGGAGACTCTGAGAAACAAACAGGATGAAAAGTGAATGAAAGTGCCTTTGTTGACAATACCAGATGACCGTGTGTGTCACTGTGGACCCTAGAGAGGTCCCTGGACTTAAGTATGACAGTGAGAGAACTACTATTGTTTTGTTTCTTGTTTCATTTTGCTGCGTCAGAAAATTAGAGTATAGTATATTGAGACTAGAAATGGAAGTCTAGGGATGGAAATGATAATTAAATATAAAGAAGGTAAATTGATAATTGGATAAACTCATGTATGTTTCTTTGCAATACTGTTGTTTTGTTTTTTTGTAGGATTGGATGAAAGGTCTGCAAGCATTTTGCAGTTTACGAAAAAGTAGCCCAGGGACATCTAGTAAACGCCTTCGTCAGGTGAAATTTCATTGTGTCTGACTTGTAACAATCTTATTTTCATATCACTTTGTTCTTTTTTCCCTATACATGCTATTTTTGCCAACATTTCTTAAGAGTAGAAAAGTTTAGTCTTTAGGAATTTTACAGCCTTGCTGTCACTTGACGTGGTAGCAGATTACTTTGTGAAAGAAGAGTTCTTTATATATGTATTCTGCTCCCTAGTCTATTGTGCCAACTCTTCAATAAATAGATTATTTTTCGCTTAACTAAACAATTAAAAGCAAGTAAAAGAAACCCGTCTTGTGCTGCACCTCTTTCTCAGGTGGAAGAAGGAAAGGTACTTCTGATCAGTTAATCACACACACAGCAGTATCCTTGAAAACTTGTTTTTCATGATATAGTTGTTTGTGAGACTGACTAGCCAATCTTAACTAAAACCTAAATCTTGTGTATACTTTTATTTTTAGGAAATTAAGCTAAGTTTCTTTTTCTAGAAATGTACTATGTTATTACCTTTTCTTAATTATTTTTATTGTTAGAGATAAGGGTTTGTCCGTAGCCTAGGCTGGGTTCAGACTTGCAGTAATCCTCCTGCAGTAGTGTCCTCAACACTAATATTACAATTGTGAGCCACCATAACTGGTTATCCCTTATTTCTTGGCCTTCAAGTCTTTCTCTCGTTGTTTCATTAAAGTGGTCCCTAGATAATTGGAAGTAGCCATCTCTAATGTGGTTGAATTTTGAACAAAGTTAAGATAGTATGTATTTATAGAGAAAAGTGACCTGTATTAATGGGTATTTCCAGTAAGCTTGTTGAGTTTAACAGACTTTTATTGGAAGTATAAAAACAGTTATTAGGTAACTAAATACTCTCGTAAACCCTGGTCTTTGTCCCAAGGACATTTTTTTTGTGTGTGTATGTACATATATATAAATATTTAATATATTGAAGTTGTCACATACTTTTGTACACGTATAATAGCCAATATCTCGAGCTCTTTTGATGTGTCAGTTAATCTGCTGTTTTAAGGATTGTTTCCAATCCTTAACACAGCATGTAGTCTTCTACACTTTATAGATGAGTCAGAGCCTACTTGTTGAGGATGGCACAACTGATGGTAGAGAGAAAGAGTATCTAGTAGTCAGAAGTATATACTGATAATATATTAGCTCCTTGGAATACATGTCTTTTCTGTAGCATCAGATCATAAATTTGTGTCTTATAAACATCTTACCATGGACTCTTAAGTAGTAAAATCTTCATGACAAGCATACTATGATATTTGGAGTTTTGAAATGAATAATGATAGTTGATTAGCAAAGCTTATATTTTTCAGAATACTAAGAAAAACAAGTCACTATTTTTGGCTTTATATACAGGTCTTGAAATGTTGGGTATGAATTTCTGTGTTCTCTTTAGGTCAGCAGCCTTGTTTTACATATTGAAGAAGCCCACAAACTCCCAGTAAAACACTTTACTAATCCATACTGTAACATCTACCTGAATAGCGTCCAAGTAGCGAAAACTCATGCAAGGGAGGGGCAAAACCCAGTATGGTCAGAGGAGTTTGTCTTTGAGTAAGTCCTATTTTATCATATTCAATCTGTTTTTAGAGTCATTTTCCTCCTGCTGTTTACACATAAACTATCTGTTTCTGTTGTTTTAATAGTATTTTTTGTTGGATTTGTTCATCTTTATTAATAAAATGCCTTTGGACTACTGAAAAGTAATGACAGTGTTTTCTATATTCTAGATCTGGTTTTAATGGGTTATTAGTGCTTTAGGAAGTTTAAGATTACTGGGAAAATGTCTAGTTATCAATATTCTTGTGTAACAAATAATATAAACCTGGTTTTATATTTATATAACACACTGAAATTTTTAAATGGAAATAAGGTAGTTTGATACTAGAATATTTTTTCTAATTTTTCTCCTTGCCTCTTTAGTGATCTTCCTCCTGACATCAATAGATTTGAAATCACGCTTAGTAATAAAACAAAGAAAAGCAAAGATCCAGATATCTGTAAGTTGATTACAAAGCTTTCTAAAGTAATGAATGCATGTTTTATTTATTTATTTATATAATATTATTATATATAGTTAGAATTTATATATGAAATATATCTAAGATGGAGATGAAACATATGCTGTATAGTCTGCTACTAAACTGACTGTCGAGCGGTGACAATTAAGAACAAAATGGCCAAAGTATATGTACTGTAGTCCTTACAATTTAAAATACACACTGTACTCTCCCTATAAGAAAATGGTAGTGGTGATCATTTTTTGTACTCTTTCCTTTTTTAGTTTCCCCTAATTTTTCCTACATTTCAAATATTAAAAGTTCTGTTACAGACTGGAGATAATAGCTCAATTGTAGAGTATTGTCTGGCATGCAGTGTCCTTAGCCCTACAAAGAAAAAAGATACAGAATGTTTAATGTACTAGTTATTTGTTGTAACATCCAATGCTCTGGATATCCTATTCCAAGCAGCACACTTCCCATCCTGTTGGTAGGACAGATGGCATTGGGATTTAGTGATTCATAACCAGGGTGAATTAGGTTAATACCTTCTTTTACAACTCAGGCTTTTAGGGTAAGCAGTCGTCTGTCCTGACAGACAGATCAAAACCTGAAGTCCTTCTGAATAAAATGTTTATTCTCTAATTGCTTACACTCTTAAATGTTTCTCCATTACTTGTGTGATAAAATCCCAGTAATGGCACGGAAAGAAGCAATACTTTCTTTTTGGAGTGTGATCTTTATTGCTCTACCTTTTTACCTACCTAGCTAACTCAAATCACGGGTTCATGTTTGGAGTGGATTTTTAATTCCCCTAGGCTGTTATGCATCCTTGTGTCTGCAAGTATTGCTCACTGTTGTAGCACTTATACTGCATCCTCTTTTATAGCTTAAGACATTTTCCACGCACATCAAACACCATGTCTTAATCATTTCTTAATCCCATATCCAGAGCCTACCACAAAATGTCACATAGCAGGCCTTTAGTAAATGAAAAAAAAGAACCAAATAAGCATTGGCTTTGTGATGTTATTGAAAACTTGCTTAATGGAGAGCATTTAAAACTACAGAAAACTGTATTGAGAAAATGCATATGACCATAGTGGTTTTTCTTTTGTAGTATTTATGCGTTGCCAGTTGAGCAGGTTACAGAAAGGACATGCCACAGATGAATGGTTTCTGCTCAGCTCCCATATACCATTAAAAGGTATTGAACCAGGATCCCTGCGTGTTCGAGCACGATACTCTATGGAAAAAATCATGCCAGAAGAAGAGTACAGTGAATTTAAAGAGGTATTATTTAGTAGTCTAATGCTTCTAATGGCATTACACATGAATATTAACTATTTAATAAAAATGCATTAAGCTAAATAGTAATGTCCTAGATCAGTAGTACACTAGTAGCCAGAGGTAAAAAACATGTTGTATGATTTTGTCCTTATAAAACTTGAAACATAGGCTACAAACTCACTCCATTTTTAACAATTGTATTCATTGTATGTGTTCTGCCGCTTAACCTTATATATCTTTCCCATTGGTCTCCAAGCATACATAATGCTATATACTTTCAGCAATCTTTTTTAATGTCATTTTAGCTCATACTACAAAAGGAACTTCATGTAGTCTATGCTTTATCACATGTATGTGGACAAGACCGAACACTACTGGCCAGCATCCTACTGAAGATTTTTCTTCATGAAAAGCTTGAATCATTGTTGTTATGCACACTAAATGACAGAGAGATAAGTATGGAAGGTATATCAAACTAAATGTTTTAAACTGTTAAATCATTTTACAAAGTATCTGAGATTCTTTGTTTAAATATGGGAATGGGTTGCTATTTCTAATTCTGTCATGGCAGATTAAGTATTAGAGATTGTATGAAGATGATTTCTTTGTCCAGACTCAGCGTGTGATTATCAACAATAGCATAGTACTTATCATATTATCTCAGTTTTCACTTAGCAGTCTATGGGTAGAAATCAGATGTCACCTGTATTTTATTTCTAGATTTTATAGCCGTTCCAAGGCTAATGTACAATCACAATGCTTTTCACAGTTTACTAATGTATTTATTTTCTCCTCATCAATATTCATGTAAAATAATTACTGAAGAAAAGTAATTTAATTTCCAACTTAGTTGTATTAGTACAGTTCTGTGAAAGTAATCTAACATCCATTTTTGTGTAGATGAAGCCACTACTCTATTTCGAGCTACAACACTTGCTAGTACCTTGATGGAGCAGTATATGAAAGCCACTGCCACACAATTTGTTCATCATGCTTTGAAAGACTCAATTTTAAAGATAATGGAAAGCAAGCAATCATGTGAGGTAATACTTTATTGTTTTAAACTTTTAACAAATTACAGTTTTGGGAAAGTACATCATTTCTAAAATTTGCCAATGCAGTTATGCCCTCTATAATAGATTTATTAACACCTCCCACCCCCACCCACACACATATCACATGCACATTTGTGCACTCACAGTTCTTTTGGTATTTTTCCTAATTTCTACTAGTGATCAGGTGTACCTTACTTTAAGAAAATGTGTGTAACATAAATTAAACATTTTTCCAGGGACTTTGTTGTTCATGTTGAGTATCTGTTATTAAAAAAAAAAAAGCATTTTGAAATTTTGGGCCTACTTCATATACACAATAAGGTATCTTGAGGATGGAACCTAAATCCAAGCATGAAATTTGTTTATGACTGAAGTTTATTTTACATGAGTTCTAGGAGGCTTGTGCTTTGGCCCATCATGTGAAGTCATATGTAGATTTCCCATTTGTAGTCCCATGTTGGCATCCAAAGTCAAACTTAAGGATGCGCCTTTCCTGGATCTCGCTCTGTAGACCAGGCTGGCCTCGAACTCACAGAGATCTGCCTGCTTCTGCCTCCCGAGTGCTGGGATTAAAGGCGTGCGCCACCACCGCCCGGTACTCAGTGTGAGTTTATAAGTAGAATCCTGTTTATATAACTGTTGTATTTCATGGATGCTACAGAGCAGTTACAAAGGAAGACAGTCTAAATCCCCAGGCTTGCTTGATAGTGTCAGTAAAATAAGGAAATACTTTTTAACACTTGGAGCTGTCATATGTTAATTCTGCCATAACAAAATGAGTGATCTATTGTTAGAAGTTGAGGGCAATCCTGTAATTACTATCAAAGTTGGCAGATCAGAACACGTAGATTGGAGGTGGGGGTTGTACTTGAAAAGTTCTGAGAAGGGTTCATGATTCTACTTATACATTTTGGTTATCTTCCTTAGCTACTACTTTGAACCTCATTAAAAACAGTTGTGTGTTTTTTTTTTTTCCTCAGATAAATAGTGGTTTAATGTTCAGTTGAGTAACTGGGAATAAATAATAGTAAACCTATTGAATTTGCATATGTGGAACAGTTGACAGTGTTGAAAACAACAACTGCTCATTTACCACAATTTATCTGAATCTATCACTACCATAATGACTGGTTTGTTCCTTCTCTTAGTTAAGTCCATCAAAGTTAGAGAAGAATGAAGATGTGAACACTAATTTAGCACACCTATTAAACATACTTTCAGAGCTTGTGGAGAAAATATTCATGGCTTCAGAAATACTCCCACCGTAAGTTGTCAGATTGTTTGCAAAATTTGACTAATTTGTGGTTTCTAAATTTTCTTTTAATGAATGCTTTCTAATGGCATTATTCTCATATTTTTAACTCATAAACGATGGATTATGAACCATGCAAGGTGGCATGCACCTTTAATCCCAGCACTTGTGAGGCAGAGGCAGGTGAACCTCTGAGTTCAAGGCCAGTCTGTTTAATAGAGTTCCAGGACAGCCAGGGCAGTTACACAGAGAAACCCTGTCTCAACTTCCCCCAACCCCAAACCAAAAAAAAAAAAAAAAGATGGATTATGTATAAGAAAAAAGTAAACGAGTAATAACTGTTAAAGAAGCCAGAGTAAAATATACATTCTGGCACTTGCCTATATTCCCAGTATTGGAGCGGTTGAGGCAAGATGATGAATATGGGCCAGCCTGGGCTACATAGCAAGATCCTGTCTCACAAAAAAGAAAAATAGACACACATCCATTAATAAATTAAACTATATTTATATGATGACCAAGTAAGTCTGGCTTGTATTGTAGCTTAGGGAGTGAATAACATGTCTCAGATCTGGGAGCAGTATCTGTAAATCTAGTTTCTAGTTCTTGCCTAGCATTACATTCCCAGGAAACAGAAACCAAAGTCAAGTATGTACACAAGATACCAGTGTCATGTCTGCTTACAAGTCAGTGTGAGTAGACTCACTAGTTTAGATGGAAGAAGTCAAAATAATGGAACATGTGCCACAATAATTCCTCGGTATTCTCATGTCTAATAACTTATTTCATACTTTTCATAAACACAAAATCAGTGGAGCCAAACTTACTGCATTATGTTTCTACACCCATTACTAAATGTGCTTCTCATTACCTTTAACAAAATACCTTTTTTAGATGAGAAGGTCAATGAAAAGGTCAAATGCATAAAAACATGATACACTGGTTGGGTAACTTAAAATTTTGGCTGCCACTAGATTATCATATGATGATGTTTACTTTCTGTATTGAGATGTTTATGTTATTTTGGCAGGACACTGAGATATATTTATGGGTGTTTACAGAAATCTGTTCAGCGTAAATGGCCTACAAATAACACCATGAGAACAAGAGTTGTTAGGTAAGAGTTGCTCCTTCATTTGTCATAGTCACTGTGTGCAGCACACACTGACTCGGGTATGTAGGCAGAGAAGGAGGAAAGTGGTGCTTGGAGAAGTGCGGTAGTTGAACCATCTAGATTTTAATTGGTTTGTACCATCTGTTTCCAACCATGCCTTCGAGTTCTGAAGCTCTCATTTAGAACAGCTTTGGCCTCTGATGAAATTTGAGAGCTCATATATGGACTTAATAAAATTGTTTGCTTAAGTTATAAACTGTTAGCAACCAAACAGAACTAAAGCAAAATTCCTACGACCACCTAGTATCATTAATGTAGTTTGAGGATTTTGTTAAGAAATTTATAGAAATGCATCAAGTATAGTTTTCTAGTAATTATGGAAAATTGCCAGTCACATTATATGTAAAATATGAATTTTAAAGACATTCCTGATGTAAATTTTGTCAGGAGGCTTCTACTTTTCTTGCAGACAGAATTTCCATTGGTGCCCTAAGGGCATAGCTCTGAGGTGAGGCACTTAATTAACACTAAGAGGTCCTGGATTTGATTCCTACCCCTGAATAAAACAGACCAACCAAAATGTCTCTCAGTTAGCTACACTAAGCCACACTGAAGAATTGTAGGAAGAAAAATGACAAGCATGTTATTTGAGCAGTTGTGTGATAGACATTAAACTGTTAAACATATCAGGGTGCTTTAGGGGTTTTTCATGCCTAAGGTGATTTCTCTTCCTAGCAATACATGCATAGTACCCATGTATTATTTAATTTAAAATCGCCTTAAATATTCAAAATATTTTTTCACTGAAATTTATTAATAGTTCAATGTTATCAATTCAAGTTTCTAGTTAAGTATCAAAATATTTTCAGTAAACCTTATGCAGGAACCTTCTTTAAGAAGAAATATCAAAATATGAAGTTATTAATTGCTGTAAGTAATTATAGAAGGAATTTTATAAACTATGGGGACTAATGCTTGTCGAGGTTAATTACTACCATGGATTCTTTTTTAAAAAATGTAAAAACTGATCTTATATGACAATATATTTAATACTACTGACTGAAGGAGGCAGAGTAGAGTATCTAAGTTTATATTAACGGCAAAACTTTCAAGTGTTTATGGTATGCATTTTATAAATGTCAAGGACTCATTGATACAGTGTATTCCAATGTTTATATATCTTAATTCATACTCACAGACTTTTCTGTTTAAATAAATTTTAAAAGACAAAGTGGGTAATTTGGAATCTTAAAGAACTGTTATTTATCTATAAAAGGTTTATACTCTTTTAGCAGTTCTAATACACTGCTTCCTCTAGTAAAAAACAAATTACTAATCTCTAAATAGCTAAGAGAATAAGTGCAAACTTATTTCCAGAGTTAATCTGAAGTTATATTTGCCTTACAGTTTTCTTAATTTTTAATTTTATTTGGGCTTCCCCATGTTGAAAGTAAAAGTTATGGTTCTAAGTTTAAATTTTTTATGTTTATATTTTAAACATATATGGTTTCTAAAAAAAATTTTCCTTCCAATTAGTGGTTTTGTTTTTCTTCGGCTTATCTGTCCTGCTATCCTGAGTCCACGGATGTTTAATATAATTTCAGGTAATTACCTTTTAATAAATTTTGAAATGGAAAAAGCTTCACTTAATGGGAAATACTACACTTTAAATCAAAATTTAAAAATCTAAAACAAAGCAAACCAAAGCACTATTCCCTGCCTTTTTTATTCTTTTATTATCGAAAATGTTAGATTTTTTTTTCTGTTCCTGTGACTGTTATTTTAAAAGTTTGCATTAAATTTATTTTAAGCACATGAGTGTATGTGTACAGGCATTTGCATGCCATGGTGCATGTACAGGGATCAAAGGACAACTTCTGGGGGGTGATTAATTAGCTCGATCCCATTTTGTATTTTATTCATTGTCCATTATGGAAGTTTGTAGATTTGTAAACTTAAGGAAGGAAAAGTGTTAATATAACTTCAATATTGTAATGAGCCAATCAATATTAATGGAGGGAAACAAACATTTTCATACTAATAATTTGAAGCTCAAAGCTGTATTAAAAATTATTTGAGCTGTAAATGCATTCTGTAATCACAGAACTTAGGAGGCTAAGGCACAAAGAAGGGTCAAGGCCAGGCTGGACTATAGCTAGACCATGTCACTCAGCACAATGGTATGTACCTACCATGCCCACATGCAGAAAATTGAGTCTGAAAGAATTCCCTGGATCTTAAAAACATTGGAGAAATTATTTTAATTTTACTTTCATACTCATCACATTCTTGTAATTACTTTTCATTACTCCTGAAGTGGTTGAATACAAGCATATTAAGAATAAAAGACTGGGGGCTGGTGAGATGGTTCAGTGGTTAAGACCAAATACTGCTCTTCACACTGAATTCAGAGGACCTTGAATTCAATTTCCAACACCCATGTCAGGTGGCTCATAACCACCAAAACTCCAGCTCCAAGGGATCAGACACCCTTGTCTTGCTTCTGTGGTCAACAGCACTCATTTGCACATATCCATACATATAATTTTTAAAATATTGAATGAAAGGCTTAGAGTTCTGTTCAAACACTGGCTTAAACTTGAGTTAAATTTTTTTTACAATACAATCTACAACAGTGGGTCAGAATATAAGATTTGCTGTTATTAATCTTAGACTGGGGATATAACTCCAGTTGGCAGAATGCTGGCAGAGCATACACGAGGCCCTGGGTTCAATCCCTAGTACCCAATAAAACTCAGGAAGGAGAAGAGGTAGGAGGAGGTTAGAAATTCAGGGTTGTCCTTAGAGTGTGGGTTTGAGACACAGAACACTAGAGAAAAAAGAGGGGGAGAGTGCTTAATTTTTAGTTTCTATTTGGTAGCTACAAATACTTTTCATTTACATTCCATTTTCTATGTTCTACAGGGAAGTTTTTCATGAGCTTAAAAATTTACCTTTCAAGTGAACTATTTGCAGTGACTGGCCTGCAAATAATGTGGAGCAGGGAATTGCTGAGATTGCAAAATGTTCCCCTTAGTGAGTTGAAATTAGCTTTGTGAATTGTCCTGAAAGGTCTGTAGATTGACAATCTTCTTAGCAATAAAGCAGCTTTTTGAGGTATTCTGAAATATTATCAGCTAGTTGGGAATTACTCAAGTTTGTATGTTGTTCACAAAACAAGCAGCATTTATAAATGTGTTCAATTTTTCCCTTTTTAACTCAAGTTCTTTGGAATTAGGTCATACATTTTTAAGGATTATTCTGAATATATCCTAAGGATTGTTAGTATTTAACAGTACAGAAAGACTAAAAGTGCTAAATTTATAGTGGCTTATCTGAGTCACTGGTTGTACCCACTTCTCTTCTAGATTCCCCGTCTCCTATTGCTGCAAGAACACTGACATTAGTGGCTAAGTCTGTGCAAAATTTAGCAAATCTTGTGGAATTTGGAGCCAAGGTAAAAATATTTTGATACTTTAGTTTTATTTCACAATCAACATAATCTTCAAAACACAGTGTACTATGTAAACACTGGAATATAATTACCTACTTTTGTAACTTAGTTCGTAACCAAACTCGCTGCCCAACTCACAAATATGTACTGCTTTTACCGACCATTAGTTAGTTAGTATGCTGTCCTCTGTCAGATATGTAATGTATTCTCTCTATAGTTCCTTTCAGATTCATCCTAAATTTTGGTATGTGATTAATAATTAAACATACATTTTATAGGCTTTTGCCTAAATAGGCAATTGCCTATTATTATTTCTTGCCAAATTCAGTCATTTTTATTCCCCCCCCCCAAAGACTTATTTCCTATTATGACTGTTTTGCCTGCATGCATATAAGTACACTGGTGTGTGCCTGTTGCCGTCTATGCCAGATGAGGGCACCAGGTTCCCTGGAACGGACAGTTATAAGCCATCATATGGGTGCTGGGAACCAAACCCAGGTCCTTTGAAAGAGCAGGAAGTGTTCTTAATCTGTCCAACCCCATAGATAATCCTCTTTACGTTTAATTATTTTTCTTAGAAATTTCATGTCTGCATCTTTGGAATTACAATTGAATCTTATCACATCTGAGGTTTATTGTTGATACTGTGCTAACCATAATTATAACAAATTATAGTGGGTTAGAATTTTAGTTAACATTTATGGGTTATCTTTTGAATTTACCTGAAACACAAGGCATATTTTATCCTACTGCAATCATAGGGAATTTTTGGTTTTGCTGTATTTTAACTCCCCACAATATGTTGGGCTCTTCATAATTTATCAGTAATAAATTCTAAATGTACATATTAAAAATTTGTGTCTGCCAAGCTATATGTTAAATGATTTTTAATTTGCAACTTCTTTTTATTCAAATATCTCCACCATATAGCTATTTATACTGGGAAATTTTCATATAGTAATTCTTGCTACATGTATAGTTTTTGTTGTAAAAGTTTTTGTAAGGCATATGAGGCCTATATTTTTAATTTTTTAGGAACCGTATATGGAAGGTGTCAATCCATTCATCAAAAGCAATAAACATCGCATGATCATGTTTTTAGATGAACTTGGGGTATGTACATAATTTTCACATTTAGCCATATAAGCAAAAACCTTTAGATTTTAAAAACAGCACTTCAAAATAAAATTTTTTTCTATGCAAAATGTTCTTTTCCTTTATTCTTACATAAATGGCTAATGTCAAGCATACACAATCATGGCTTTCAACCAGTCATATTTAAAATATGACTGTCTTCATTCATTATCCTTTAGCTATTGTTGTATTCAGTCTTTTAAGTTGTAGCTAAAATAAGATTTGAAGCCGGTTAGATTGGAACCTAAAGTTAGAACTAGATGAAGTAGTGTAATGCCTCATTTGAGCTTTTATAAATAAAATTGTGACACAAAATTAAATACATTTATAATTTCTGAGACCCTAAATAGGAAAGTTAAATTTTCTATATCATTTCAAATACACACACACACATCTATTTCAAGGACTGAATGAATTTTAAAGTAAATATAGTCATAATGTAGTGTATGTACCCAGAAGAAAAAAGCCTAAAATAACATGTGTGTGTGAGCTGAACCAGGTGTTCGAGGCTGAGTTGTCAATGTTTTAGAATGCATTTAATGTTCAAAGCACATATTAATCATCACAACACTTCAGCCAAAAAAAAAAAGAAATGGGGTTGCAAGTAAGCCCAAAAATCCTAAGTAAACTTCTATCAAGTTTCCATTAGGAGGATTTCTAACAAAAAATATAGTTGGTCAGTTTTCCTTGGATTTTGTCCTTTCTACTAAACTTCAAGCTCTGTGAAGGCAAGCAAAATTGTAATGTTTTTTATCTCATAATCTTTTATTCATCAAATCACTTAACAAACAAATGATCCAGTTAAAATGAATGTATTAGAGTTATTTCTTTACTACCAAAAACTAAAATGCCCTTCAACTTTTAGGAATGTGTAACAGTCACTACCACTAAAAAGTGGAATACATCTAAGATTCAACAAGGCCTGAATATAGACATTTAATATAATATAGTAATATACATTTATTATGATGGTTAAGTTACTCCATGAACCTTAAACACTATAATGTCCAGTGATCCCACATTTTTATCTTAAGCAGTCTACAGAAACTACAAAGTAAGTCTTTATTATATTTTCATAATGTAGTTCTCTTTAGATGCTGGTCAATTTAGATAGTGTCCTAGTGGTATTCAGTCTAGGCATTTAAGTTGTAGTAATCCAAATCAGCAACTGATAGTAATACTATTAATTTGACATATGCTTTAAATTTAAAAAGAAAAAAAAAAATCAACTCATGATACTGTCATCCTACGGAAGAATATGGAACCTGGTTCTAAAACCTATGTTTAGCAGAATTATTTGAATAAAAATTCTTAGACAAATTAATGTTTTATACCTAGTTAGGATAATTTTAGAAGAGACTACAAGGATTTTTATTTCTAAATGCAGTTTTATGATTCCCTTAAAGAATGTACCTGAACTTCCGGACACTACAGAACATTCTAGAACTGACTTGTCTCGTGACTTAGCAGCCCTGCATGAGATCTGTGTAGCTCATTCAGATGAACTGAGAACACTCAGTAATGAGCGCGGTGCACAGCAGGTAGGTCTTTACAAATGGTAATGTTCACATTGTATAAATGGTACTGAGTTATTGTCAAGAGGGAGGCGTGTTACTCTCACATCAAGTACATGAGCGAAGTTACTTGTGAAACAGAAGTATATGGAAAATTTGAAAAATATCTACAAATGATACCTCATGGTGATTCAAGTCACATAGCTCACACCTTAAAAAAACACTAGTCCATATTAGATTTCTGATACCAACAGATATGGAGGTCTATTCAAAAGGACTAGAACTAGAAAGGTTTTTAATTGACCTAGTGTTGAATTTAAATTGGGAAAAAGGCATAGGGGAAGTATAAATCAAGACACACACATCCTAAACCTGATTAATTTCTTCATGGTTCAGAGGCAATACATGCTAACACTGCACTGCTTTCCTGTCTGGCAGAGATTTCACAAAAGAAATTAAAACAGCGATTATGGATTCTCATTAGTCTGAGAGTCCTCACTTTTTTTTCTTAAGTTTAAAAAACAAGTTAAATAATAGAGCTCCAATTGCAAAACATTACAGTAGTTTATTACCAAGGTTTTTAGTGATAAATTTAGTGTGGTAAGATCTTAAATGCTCAGTGGAAATAATCAGAACTCAGTTTCATGTAATGAGTAGAAATGCTAGCACCTTAAGAATCCCATTGCTTTACTGTAGTTTTTATTAAATCCAAATTTCTATCTTGAAATTTTAGATTCGTTGCTTAGTGATTTCTCCCCTCCACTGTTTCTCCTTGTGTCTAGCATGTACTGAAAAAGCTTTTGGCTATAACTGAACTGCTTCAACAAAAACAAAACCAGTATACAAAAACCAATGATGTCAGGTAGCAGCCTGGTGTTCTGCATGGATTCAGCACATCCAACATGGTAATTCACATCACTATGTCTCCTTTGCTCTTGCCAAAAAAAAAAAAGAAAAGAAAAGAAAAAGAAAAAGAAAAAAGAAGAGAGAGAAAGTAGCACACCTTTCCACATTCCAGTGATGTGTGAGCTATGCAAACAAAAAACCAAGATTCTGCTGGCAAGTAACTGCCAGCGCCTTTGTAAGCTATCTGTGCAGAATATTTGCACTTTTTCCACATGGAATCTTTACCAAACTCTGAGCCTTGGTGTACAGATCAACTTTCACAAAAGAAAAAAAAAAGCTATGTCTTGAACTTTGAAAATATATTTTCAGTATATCCAATTGCCAAAGTTTTACTGTCTCTTGGAAAACGAACTATGAAATCAACTGACAAGAAAAACACATCCTATTGACAACAGAATTTAACTGGATTGCAGACTGTTCTTACTGTAATTTTGTCCTTCTTACGATTATGACCATTTGACTGTTCACTGAATTTATTTGTATTTACAGTTTCCAGAGTTTGACATTGTAATAGGAACAATCTTGCTGTATACTTTCTAAAAATACTGTGCTATTCTTCCTGGAACTGTAGAAGACAATATATAGAATGGATGAATCTATGCTCATCAGCTTTATTTTTTAAACATACCACTTATTTTGTTGGAATTGTCAAAAACTGTATTTAGATCTCATGGTTTTGTTAAAATGTTTACAAAAGTAAATAGTTTAAATTCAATAAATATTATTGGTCATTGTACCAATCAATGCATGTTACCCATTTGACCATTTTATAGATTACTGATGTCTTTTATGTTTAAAAAAACTGCTAGAATACTTGTGTCTGTCCTAAGATGACTTTTTGTTACTGCTTTGATTATGCAGACAACCTCCTCAGCCACTTAACAACTTACACATCTTAGAACTTTACTTGTTTTTTCTGCTGGATAATTTAGTTTGTATAGTTTCATCTGATCCTGTGTTTGTATTTTTGTGAAGTATTCCCAAGGGTTAAGTTAAAATAAACTGAGGGATAGCTTGCATAATTAATCAGCTTACTATTTAACTTCATTATAATTTTCTTCCACTTTTAGGGATAGTTCAAGCTTTAATACCAGAACAAGGCCCAGAAGGATTTTATTGTTTCTTTCATGAAGGATTTCATTTATTCACTCATTGTACAACTTGTTAAGCAACATGTCTTATGCTGAAGATACGACTTAAAAATGTGTAGCAGAGTATCCTTAGTAATCAAGAGGGTTTTTTTTGTTTGTTTGTTTAAAAAGAACCAAGGAAGGTATTAATAAAAAAAAAAAATTCCCTCAATAAGATGTTTTTCTGAAGGCCTAGATTCTAAAAACAGTTGGTTGCACTCCTTAGAGATATTGTATACAGTGAAAGATGTTAAGTACTCAAGGGTTTATTCCCCTTTGCACAAACTGAAGAGGCCTCAATGTATTCTTTAGAGAGATGTTTGATGTTACCATTGAGAGATATCCCTAGCTTAAATATAGGGCCGAATGCAGCTATACAGGTCATTTACTGTCCTTAACATAGCTTCAATCAGGTTAGCTATGATAACAAAAACAAAACAAAATTTTGTTCTCAATGTAATCCCTTTCTCTCTGGAACCCATTACAGTTCCTATTCCTGTTCCTTCGCTGCACTATGACAGTAACTCATCTCATTTCCTTGGTTTATAAGGTGGAAGGGCTACCGAGTGGTGAATGTAGATAAGAACTTTGAAAAGCAGGCCGAGGTCCAATCTCTACGGCATTTTAGTTTATCCTCATTAATTGTACTTGAGTGTCAGCCATGATGGCCTATCTGCCATTCCTTGGCCAGACATGCTTCTCTTTTTTACCATTTTTATTTTAAAAGAAATCTGAAAAACTTATCTTCATTTTTGTGTTTTACTGACATGTTTGTGTCTTAAAATAGAGTGGGAAACTTGTTACTTACCTTCATTGGCCCTGCAATAGTAGGTAGGTATTTAGTGGTGAAATAAAATCTTTGAAACAATTTTTTTTTTTTTAATGGGCTGGGTAGAAAATTTTCAGAAATACATGTGAGATCTTGCTCTGATGCCAAACTTTAGTGATTTTAGTGATCTGAAAGAGAAACAGGAGACATATACTGTGAGCATTTACAGTTCTGTCTATAGTTGCTTAACTTGAACTACACTTGGGCATATAAGCTTTGGTTTTCATTCTGTTATAAAGCATTACACTTTTATTCCAGAACAAGAAAGAAAGAAAACAAACCAGAAATTCAAGCCATAAAAATAATTATTAGAGATGAACATACATATGGAGATAAACATTAACATAAATGTCACCACATTTTTAAGACAGAACTAAAATGCTACCTACCCTCCTAGGAAATGTATCCTCGAGTATGTAAAGCTGGGTAGAGTTACATTTGAGGTAGTAGAGTTTCTCAGAATTTCTTCAAGCCAGTTTTCCAGGGGGAAAAAAAAAATCCAAAAGCACCAAAACAAAACACTGGCCTAATATACATACATACCTGCAATTTGGGCCTAACTGTACTATCTACTACTTACCACATTAAGACAGTTATTAATACACAGCAAGTACCTACTAGCATGCCAAGCACTGCTGGGAATAATTCTACCAAGAGTAGGTATCATCATTTTCCCCATCTCTACTTGGGAAAGTAGCCACTGAGGTACAGTTTACTAAAGTTGTAGAAAAATAGGAGGCATACCTAAGTAATTTAATTCCATGTTGTGAGTTTTTATACTAATTTCATTTTTAAACTTTTGAATGTATTTAATCTATAAATTCCTAGTGACCATAATGCCTTTTTATATGGATTCACTTAGAGATGATCATTTAATGATAAAACTGACTATAATTTGCTACCACTTATCTTTAGTAATTTAAGATTTTTCTCTAGACTCAAAAATTATATTTTATTTGAACCCAGATAAAATAAGATTTAGTGCCTCAGCACTAAATAACTGCCCAATACACTCTCTACAGCTCATAGTAATTCATCCATAGTTCAGTCTATTGAAGAAACATTTGCAAAGCCATTTGTGTTTTTTTTTTTTTTTTTTTTTTCGAGACAGGGTTTCTCTGTGTAGCTTTGCGCCTTTCCTGGAACTCACTTGGTAGCCCAGGCTAGCCTTGAACTCACAGAGATCCACCTGCCTCTGCCTCCTGAGTGCTGGGATTAAAGGCATGTGCCACCACCGCCCGGCCTGCCAAGCCATTTGTAAGACCTTCTGGAGAATAAAACCTATTTCCTTAGCACTTCTAAAGTTTACTAAGTTTTGTTTTTCTGTATTTCTTCTAAATGGATAGAATTTTGTTCAGAATAATATGAGTGCACCATAGTTTGAATTTGGCCACCATAGGAGGACAAGGTTTGCTACTAATCTTAGTGAGTTTCAAATATCCAAAGTAGGTGGCATTCAGCCTCTTTTGAAGTTACATAAAGCAGTCACAAAGAAAAAATATAATTAAAAAAGTTTAATATATTTTGATGTTTTACATTGTACTACTTAAATGTCAGACATGCTTCCTACTTCTGTTGCTTCGTTTAGCACTGCCGTTGTGACTTCAAAAGGTTAGAGAGCATCTATCAGGTCATCATCAGTCCATTCCTCCTAGGGGGAGAAAGGTAGTAAGGAAACAATGAAGCAGTGAGTAAGTTGTTTGTACCTTGCTTTAAGAAAATGCTGATTGCAACAGTCTACTGTAGATCTGCTTTTTTGAGATGTCTCCTGTGGCTGCAGCCAGCCTTGGATCCTCCTGCCTCCCAAGTACTAGGACTACAAGAGTGTGCTACTAAGTCCAACACTTAATTAGGATGACATGTTCTCAGCTGCTTACTCCACGCAGTGACATGAAAGCTATCCTTCTGCCTCCGATTATTTATCTTGGACTTGTAGAGACAATTTTAAAGCTTGGGATAAGGCAAGGGAAGAATCCTTGGAGAATAGGAGATTAAATTTTGCACTACTGCCTTCTAATATAGGAAGGATTCTTCAGGTTTTAGAATTGGCTCATACAGTAGTGTAAAAAAACAAATCCTTTAAAAAGCAATGTACTCTCTGTTTCCTGGTCAACATCATGTGTAACAAGCAACTGCCCCACATGCTCCTGTCCTCTGCCATGTCTTTCCCTGCCATGGATTCTAAACACCCTCAACTGTTACCCAAAATAAATCCTTCAATTAAAGTTTGTTTTTAATTCAGACTGTGCACAAAGGAGCGAGTGAAAAATGATTTCAAACTTCAGAGGTACTTGTAGTCCCGGCACTTGGAGGGCTAAGGTAAGAAGATTGGGAGTTCAAGACCAATTGGGGCTACATAGCAGGCCATTCATGGCCCCACATGACTGGAATGCTTATAATACTCCAGAACAGTACATCTTAAGTCATGCCAGAAAATGTAAAATAAATTATATAAATTATTTAGGAGTAAACATACCTCTTCTTGTTTGGGTTTCTTTGATACATAGTCATCATCTTCATAGCCTTTCCTCTTCTTCCTATAATTAAGCAATTAGCAATCAGCAAAACTGATAGTGGCAACAAAACTATAAACCAGGAACTAACAAGGCTATGTGAGCTACAACCCAAATCTTCAAAACCAAAAGAAAGAGATCTCTACTGAAGAACAGGGACTAAATCAATAACTGGATAGGAATCGTGACTATGGAAGCAATACTTGCAGTGTAGCAAGAACCTGCAAAGATTATGAAAAGAAGAGGCTGAGCATAGCAATAAAACTCAGTACTAGTAACTCTAATGAGATTTTGGGATAATCCTGGGCCACACAGTGATCTTGCCTCAAGTAAACATAGCAAAGAGAATCTAGAGGAAAAAAGTGTTATAAACACATACTAAAGTGGAGCCCAGTGGTGGTCCACACCTGCAATGTGAATACTTGGGTGGGGAAGGCAGGAGGATTCAGAGCTGGAGGCCCACTAGGTCTTATAACAAGACCTTGCCTAGGAACAATAAATGGCACACTATAAAAACTATGGTTAAGAGCATGGTGTCATACATCAGTGATTAAAGCAGACAGACAAAAGTGGCTCCACACTTAGGCAACAGGTTCAGTGGGTTTAGATACTGAGGCAGATGACCTGTTTGTTCCCCCAAGCCATATGGAGAAAGAAAAGTGACGCTTGCCTACTGTCCTCTGTCCTACATACAGGCACCCACTTCCATCTATACTTAAACACCATAAATAAATAAGTAAATAAATGGGATTTAAAAACTGGTCTCACCTTGAGTTTATCTGTGATTAAAAAATTGTCATCTAAGAAAATCATGAAATATTCAAAAGCAAACTAGGCAAAATTACTAATATTAGGGGGGAAAACCCTTCTTAAGCATTTCTTTATTTAAAAAAAATAAGTACCAATAATATAAGAAAAAATTATATATAAAAAAACTAGGATAACTATCAAAAAAATTTTAAAGATGAGAATATAGAAAGTACTATAAGAATAAAATACCAGAACCAATGCAGAAAAAAGAAATTCAAATGGCTATCAAACTTAGAAACATAATATTCACAGTAATTGAGGAAATACAAATGATCAAGGTAATATCTTTTTTTTTTTTTTTTTTCACTCAAACTGGCAGGAGTAAAAGATTAGCAATGTTAAATGCATGATGTGGACACAGTGACACACAAAGTATTTCATGCATTTATACACAGAAAAAGTTGGCAGAGGGTAGACCCATCTGGTAAGTTATTCTGGAGCCATGCTTGAGATTTGCAGTTTGATTAAAGGGAACTTTGGTTTTTACTCAATGAGTGACAGAGGAATAAATACCGTTACTGTACAGTGAAAACTAAAGGCAAACATTTTAATGATCAAGGAAAACAAATGCTTTGTGCTGAGGTTATGCTACTTGGTGCTGTTCATGAACTGTTTCCAGCCTGCACTGAGATGAGCAGAACAGACAGACACTGTGTATTTAGAAACTAACTATACAGCAATTTGACAGATTAACTTTGACCACTGAATCTAATAAAATTTGAACTTGTATTTTTAAGTCTGTTTTACTTTGTAGAAACTTTGGTTGTATTTTGTAAAAATCTATGTCTGTAATATTTTAAGTCCTTCCTATACAAAGAAATATATTCAAGACACTTTTACAGGAATGTAGACTTTCCTTGGCAGAGTGCAAAGCAAATGGCAACTTGGAATAAAATATAAACTGTCAGTTAGGAATTTTGGATTATGACCATTATTAACTAGAACAGAATTAATAGTTGAGTGGTCCAACTAGGAGGACAAATTAGTAAGTACTTGGGGTTTGCAGTCCACACATGTTGGAGTACCCTGAACTTAAGGCTGCAGTCCACCATGTCCAGACACCTCTCTGGGCTCGGCGCAAAATGGAGGACTCCCTTTCCAGCAGGGCTCCCTCCCTCCCTGGATAGCCTGACCCATCTCAAATGTGACTGTTGACACAGATCCCTGCAGATACCCTCTGCCTGCTGCCCATGATAACTGGGTATCCTGCTCCTGATGTTTGATAGAAGCATGCCGCCAAACACAAATGAGGTGATGCCCCAGCTGCTGTTCCCATCCTCTCTCTCCTACTCTGGAATAAAGGTGAGCTGTAACACTGAAGGCTACTTCCATTCATGTTCACAGCCATCTGAACCCTGCTCCCTGCTTCTGTTCCCTCCTCCCTCGTGGACTGGTGGCCAAGGATGCCCGAGGAGGAGGGAGACCCACACATAGAGTTTCAGCCACAGCTACTTAACTTTTCTGCCATAGAATGAAAACAGACACAATAAGTACATAAATAATGGGCATTCTATGTTCTAGTAACTCTACTTCTAGACAAAACAGGTAGGGGCTAGATTAGTGGGTGTAGGGCCTCGTTTGCACATTTCAAAATCAATGTAAGAACACAGTTAAGTGCTACAAAACTTTTACTCACCAATAGGTTAACGTTCTTTATAGCTTTCTGGTATTGGTTACTACTAAAACCTACCAATTTCAAGATTTACACAAAGCCATGCTTTGAAGCCACAGCTTTAAAACAACAGTCTAACAATTTGCACTGTGTACAGCCATTGAGTATAGTTAGTTCTCTACTACAACTACAGTTAAGGAATTAAGGCATAGCTGTCTTGTGCTGAAGGCCTTGGTATGCTCTTCAGTTTTCTATACATATTTGTTATTATTTCTTAACTAATCATAGATATCAAAATACCACATATATATGTATATGCCTTATCTAATTCCCATTACATGTTAATAAATAATAGAACTATAGAGTCAGTCCACAGAAAACAAATTATTTTACTTGCATTACATCTTAAAAATTTAGTTTTGGTAGATCTTTTATACAGAACATAACATAGATTTTTAGGGTGAAATCCACATTGGCCTATAAATTAAGAGACATTAAGTATGCTCTTATGTTTACACAAAGCAACCTAAGAGGACATTTTATTGTTCTCTGATACAATGTTTCATCAAACAGAAATGAGCCAAGTTTCCTTACTAGTTTATAAAAATTAAGTCTAAAACAATATACTTGTTTCTCAAACCAAGTATCAGGTTGGTAAAGAAACAAAACTTTAAGGATCTCATAGGAAGACTAACTCTCAGTAATTCCATAAACTGGAAAAGCAAGCCAAGTTACACAAGAATGATCAGAATCAGAACTGTAGGAGGAAAGCCAAACATTTCTTCCTTGTGTTTGCTCCCACTAGAAATGTACACACAGGCCAGGCGGCAAATGTAGGCCAGGCAGCGCACTGGCCTATGGACAAGGCCCTGGGTTCAACAAGGAAAACTAGTATATTCAATTGAAATATCAACTTCCAACACAAGCAAAAACTATACTCAACTGATTATAATTTAGGTCCTAAGATTAACACACTTTGTACCAGTAAAGTAGTTTAAATAACAGTTGAACTCAATGACTTTGTGAACATAACTTTTAGGTCATGCCTACTTACGTCACCACATTAAGCGCAAGGTCGGCAGAATGGCATCGCTCCAATTTTTGTTTCAGAACAGCAACTTCTTCAGGCCTGGGTGGTTCATACTTTTTTACTAGGTTTCTCATGCCTACATGGAGATACAAAAGTATTTAATAATGTCTGGGTAGTACACGCCTTCATCTCTGCACCCTGGAGAGAGAGTCAGGTGGATCTCTTGAGTTTAAGGTTACCCTGGTCTATTGAATGAGTTCCAGGACAGCCAGGGCTACACCTGTCTCAAAAAAATAAATAAAATAAAGTATGCTTTCATTTAAAGAAAGCAAAATAAACTAACTTGCTTTAGGAAACAAGACATTGGTGGTGATGTACATTCTTACCAGGATTTGTATTCCATATTAACATTCTATATTAAAATGAAGCACCAGCCTTCTAAGTTCAAGTAATAGGTATTTGCTGTTCATTTCATTATCTATGGCACAAATATAAGCATGTTATATAATATAGTTAGTATTTATTTCTATGTACCCAATGTTTACATTTTACTCAATTTAAGGCTTGTGAAGTAATCTCTATGTGATTTAGTAAATATTCTTTATTCTGTACCACCAGCCATATTCATTAACAGTCCAAGAATATACCTCTTGTTTACCCCAAAAAATAAAAAAAGGGATGCCATTCTAACAAAATACAGCTGCTATAAAAACATATCCTTTTACTAAGGTTAAAAAATTATAGCTGGGCAGTGGTGGCACACGCCTTTAATCCCAGCACTCAGGAGGCAGAGGCAGGCGGATCTCTGTGAGTTCAAGGCCAGCCTGGGCTACAGAGTGACTTCCAGGACAGCCAAAACCCTGTCTTGGGGGGAAAAATTATAGATCAATAATTGTAAGGTAATAAAATATGCTCTGACTTATGTTTTTATTCAACATAAACAAAATAAAAATCTCAAGATTTTTTATAAACATGATGAGTAAGTCCAGGGACTTATTGTGTGGTCATGTGCTTCAGACTGATAACTAAACCAGAAATTGGTACTTATGATTCAGTATCTTTAGAGTAATATCTGTCTCCCCCCCCACCCCACCCCACACCCCTTCATATTAAAACTATTTTCTGAAGCACTATCCTTGTGTCATATTAAAAGTGGAACAAAATAAGGATAATGAGAAATAAGGAATTAAACATTAAGCTTCAAATAACATCTTGTTATCCTTATGTACCTTCTACTACCAAATTGTTAGGAATGATTACCAGATCACAATTAGCTTTGGAAGTGAGCCCTCTAGTGGTAAATATGAAGACCTACAGCTTATGCAACAACCAAAAAAAAAAATCTGCTCCATTATGCTCAGAGGAAATTCAAAATTACTTCAAGCAAAGAATCACATCACAGCATAAGAACCACATGCCTTGAATCCCAGTTTTTAAAATAAACAAACACTTAAAATATATACACATTTACTATCACCTAAGAAAAGGTCTGCAATCAGGTATTTTACTGGTTTATTCGCCCTTACTTCTAATGTACATCTCAGTAGCTATGAACATAATCGCCCAGACAATTCATGAAGAACTGAGTGTGCTGGCACACCCTACAATCCCAGCACTACCAAAACTGAGGCAAGAAATTCCAAGTTTATGTCTAGCCTGGGCTACGTTCTCAAAAACACATATTAGTGATATAGATGTCACATATGTCTCTGTGTGTGTGTGTGTGTGTTATGCACCAAGCAGAAATTCTAATCAGAATTTCTAAAGACGATTTCTCAACACCAGCACTAATAAGTTTTTAATAAGTGTTTATGAAAGTCTTTCTAAGTTTCCCAAGGCTATTATTAAAATTATCACTGAGTTGGTGTTTCAAAGCAACCAAATGTATTCTCTCACACTTTAGAGTCCAGGAATCTGAAATCTGTTTCCCTTGGCCAAAATCAAAGTATTGGCAGAAAGCCAAATTCTGTCTGGAGGTTCTAATGAAAATCCATTCTGCCTGTTCATTTCTGATGACTGCCAGTTTTGTTCTTTTTTTTTTTTTTTTGTTAGATTGCTCCGATTTTTAAGGCCAAGATTGCACATCTCTTTTGCTGTCATGACACTGTTTTTATGGCTTTCTGAAATTTCTCTCTACCTTTTGTTCACAAGGACCCTTGTGACTACATGTACTCGTTACTTCAGTAACTCAAGTCACCATCAGCATCTTTTCATGAACTAACCCGCATAACTCTAACTTCTGCAGTCTCAGGGAGCAGACACGGGTCCCACAGATGGACCTCCTTTTAGGGGCCATTTTTTTGGCAGCATTCTTCACAGTTTTTGTTGTGGTGGGTTTTTTTTGTTTTGTTGCTAGGGTCTGAACCAAGAATTGGCACGTGCTCGACAAGAGCTCTACCACCAAGTCCCAATCTAGGCCCATTGACAAGCTACATTTTTATCCAACACCAAGTTGTAACAGTCAATATGACTTCTGAAGTTGACACTTCATCCCTATCAACCCCACAAAATGACCAGCAAATGACATATATTAATAATTAATATTAAATAATTAAATATTAATAATTAAAATTATTTATCAAACAGCGATTGCAAAGGTAAGCCTTACCTTGAAGTTCGTTCCTTTGGGTCTAAATGTCTATCACATATTTGTGGATACTTTCAAAAGAACCTTGTTTTGACTCAGCCTTTTCTAAATCTGATATCCATATTCCCTTTCACATATAACAAGTATTTCCTTCCATATACCTTTTATTTAATCTCACCAATGTATCTTCAATGCATCCTGACACAGTAATTCAATAAAAGTAAATTTAAAGAAATCTACCACTGCACATTAAATACCAAAACATTTATTCAGAAAGCAGCTTTGTTAATAGCACTTACTTTTCATTATATCCAGTAACTGTGACAGGCAAGTTCTATTTTCTCTCAGCATTAGACTTTCTGATAAATAGCTATTGAAGGGGGAAAAAAAAGACCTTTTAACTGATTGAAAGCACACAGCACATTGAAAAGACAAGACATAAATTATTCACCTCCATGTTTATTTCATCAAGTATAGTTTTTAAATTACTTATTTAAAAATATTACATATTAGAAAACTCCACAATACTAAAACCTACAGCTATATAGTCTAAAAGATTTACTACCATTTTTTCTAGCTTAAGAGATGTGTTTATTTAAATTTTATTATATATAACCTTTCAGAGATAAACAACAGTAACAACAGTACTAAGGACCAATATTTATCATTTTATATTAAATGTTTGATATACATGTTCCATAAGCCTAACTTCATGTGACTGATTCATGAAGAGTCTGAGCTGTAGACAGGCTAACTAAGCTCAAAGGTGGAAGATAAGGAATAGGGCACCAGCCAGCTTTCCCCTCAGTAAAAACTACCTACAGCCATTCTACCTGTTGATGTACTTGAGCATTAACAAGCAGTCTACCAACAAAATCTCATCTCATGCTTTGTAAATCTATTACATCTTATCAAGTCCAAAGCAAATACTTTTCTATGAATGTTTAATAAACCCTAATTACACTTTGTTTAAATTTTAGTTCCCCTGAAATTTTACATACCAATACATGGTGTATAGGTGCTATAACCCCAAATGAAGACTCTTAGATTCTAGGTCTTTCAAACATAAATATAAAAAGTAATTTTTCTCCCAGGTAAATTAGTTATAAATGAAGAGTTTTAAGAACTGTTGTTGCAGTATTTTAAACTACCTAGATTAAACTTTATATAAAACTTTGATAACTATGTTACATATTAACTAGTTTCCTTATTCCCATCTTGTTATACCTTTGTCATCTCCCTTATATTCCTTTTCTTTTTGAAACAGGGTCTCATATAGCCCAATGAGAACTCAGTTTAGCTGTTGAGGATGACCTTTAACTCCTGACATTCCTGTTTCCATCTTCTGTGTGCTGGAATTACAGATATGCTATCTCTTACAGAGGCTCCACACCTAAACTCCAGACAAGTAATTATTCACATGGATATCTTTCCTACTTAGTGAGGGATTTCATTCCTATATTCCTTAAGTGTAATATAGCAGAAACTCACTAAATGTTTGCTCAGTAAATAAATGGGATAAAAATCACAATAGGATTAAACCTACTTAGAACTGTGTTTGAACAAAAAAGGTATACTGGGACTGGAGAGATGTCTCAATGGTTAATAGCACTTCCTACTCTTGTAGAAGACCCAAGTTTGGTTTCTAGAACCTGTATCTGGTAGCTCATGACTACTGAACTCTAACTCTGGGGACCTGACATCCTTTGCTGGTCTTCATAGGCACTTATATACATGGCATATATTTACATGTACACATAGATAAAAGTAAGTATTAGAAAAGAGGTATACATATCATAAATAAAAAAGCCTAAGGTCACAGTCCCTTACCCTGGATGCAAATGTGTTTCAAAATTTGTAACTGTTCATAGTGTAAAAAGCTAGCTTGGTCTTTCATATACTGCCTTTTGTGAAATGTGGTATCTGAGAGTTAGGAATATTGGTACTTCTGTAGTAATAAAAAATATTCCCAATGAGAGAGGACAAAAACTAAATCACATCTGTTCATGTTTGTTACTGTCTTATCACTGTACTTTGAAACTGTAAGTATATAAAATAGTTTAAGCTTAGAAAATTTTTTCTTCAGCTATTTATAAAAATGAAATAAAAGAATCTCAAGCCATAAGAGAAATTAATTATAAAAAATAAAAGTAGTATAATTTAGAAAATAACTGGAGTATAATAAATATTTCTTATTTGCTGTTCTTCCAGCTCCCTGGTAATTATGTATAGTACTGTTACAAGTGTAAGAATTAATATGTGAATAAGATGATATTAAAAAAATCAAGCGGATTTAATTCACATAAAGTACTCATTGTAATGTCTGAATCTCTACATATGTAATAGGTATTATTTATGGCTCAACTTCAATTTCCATGTGGATATTCCCTAAAGCATTACATCTACACATCACTACTGAATATGTTACTCATGCTGTACAACATATGAATGACACAACAAAGCAGATGATTCACAAGCTGATGAACTTGTAAATGTCATATAGCTACAGTTGACTTCCAGAACTACCTGTGTCACTTCTACCTAAGTCAGAAATGTAGCTCAACAATACTTGATTAAATACTTTTTTAATGGCAATTTCATCTCTTCAGTCACGAAACTTATCTGACATAAGGCATTACAAACACAAAGACAATCATCTAATAGATTTTACTTAAAAACTCAGACTCTACTAAGAAGTAAAACTTGAACTTGAACTAAAGTAAACAGATCGATACCTTTCCATAGTAATTCCAGCCCTAGAGGCACTTGATAAGATAGCTGTCAGGGCAATTTGTGAAGGTGTGTATAAAAGATAAGCATCTGTCAATGCAATTCTACTAAGAAAATCATCAGCTGTTTTCCTCAAAATCTCTGGATTCTCCAACATGGGGTATCGAGTCTAGAAAGAAAGTTTACAGATGTTACCATTTCTGAGATTTTATTGAAGATTAATAACCATTAAAAACATACAGTAACTAGTAGGGGCTTAATAAAGAACAATTTTTAAAAAGTAACTCCTTTTCTATGTTCCAAAAACTAATCTTTCAATGTTAGATTGTTTGGTATGTATTAATAGAATGTAGCTAAATTATAGACAACAAATTCTGAACATTTCATTGATTTTGCTGATATGGCTTTCAAACTTTTTTGGAACCAGAACCATAATTAGAAATATATGCTTATATGAACAAAACAGAAACACATGCTTTAAGACAGTAATACTTAATATTATTCTCAGTTTAGTCTTTTTCAACATTAGAAAGGTAGGCTCCTAGAGTTTCTACTGAAGTCAAGGCAGACGCAAGACGTATTGGACATATACTCTTAAGTAAAGACTAACCAGGCAATCCAGGCAATTTTAAGGTCAAATTAGGAGCTGTTGTATATAGCATGAATCCTAATTGGTCTTAATAATTAAAAACCTGGAGCCAGATATCAGGGTAAATGCTGAAAGATCAGAGAAACAAAGGAACAAACCACAGCCACCTCTTACCTCCCCAACTCCTCAGCCTGAAAAGGGGCCAAGTTCCTGTCTCCACCTTGCCTTATCACTTCCTCTCTCTACCCAGCCATATCACTTCCTGTTTCTTCCTCCTAAGTTCTGGGATTAAAGGTATGTGCCACCACTGCCTGACCTCTACGGTTAACTAGTGACTACATCTACCCTCTGATCTTCAGGCAAGCTTTATTTAGAGCACAAACAAAATATCACCATTATTTCCCCTTTTTGTCTAAAATTTTAAAAGGTTATAACTAATATAAGAAAAACTATATAGAATAAGTACAATAATTATATATAATCTATACAGGCAATAATTACATCAACAATGTCTAGTCCATAAACATTTGACAAATTCAGAGAAAATACTCTATTATCTATCCTATTTGGTAAATCCAAAAGCTTGTACCTAATTTACTTACTATTCTAACTTATATTACCAAAACTATCTTTTAACGTCTCTCTACCATATATACTTTACACCTCTTTAGTGCATTTCTTTCTGAATCTGGTAACAAGGAAAACTATAACTATAAAGTCTTCAACTCCATCAGAGACCCAAGAAGGTGATCCAACATCCACAAAAGCTTCAAGGCTACTGGCTGAGATGGACCAACTACACAAAATACCCCAGTCAGGACTTGACCGTAATTCTAAATTTTCTCAGGTTCCCCATAAAAATCACCAGTACCCCCAATCAGCAGGAAGTAGTATAGAAAACTATGTTCAAATTCCCAAAATACTGTTTATGAATGTTTGTTTTCATTTAAAGGGGGTTGGTTATAAATGGTTAATGGTCATAGTTTCTTTCTAAAGAAAAAAGGGGGAGAAGATATATAAATGATGGGGAAAAGGCTAAATTATTATGATAATAAGAAAGAGGTAGATTACTAAATCAACTTTAATCCAAAAAACAACTATTAATCTCAAAATACTTTACACTGATATGGATTTTGGTTTATTGATACAAATTTAAGGTCAATTTTGTTATAATATATGTGTATTTCTAGGTATTATGTTTATGCAGCTCATTTAAAAATGTGATGTATAGTTAAGAAATACAAATTAATAGTCATCTATAATAATCAAACTTATAGCCATGTTACATTTTCTAGATACGCAAAGGTATATTTATATTAGGCAAATAATCTTCAAACACTTCAAAGACATAGAATATAGCATTTAAAATGTTCTAAAAACTTAGACTTTTCTGGACAGTGAGACACGTCTGCTCCTGGCAGTACCAATTACATTAGAGAGGCATCAAAGAAACTCCACACATAGTGTGCTTTCTTTATGGCAAAAGTTAGCCATTTGGGCAAGAAACTATTCTTGCCTGAACTGCTTGAAAGTATGCTATATAAACTGAACATACAGGACGCACAGGAAAATGACTGCTAAACATGCCAAAACAAGGTGGGATGGTCCTTCAAGGTTCCTGCTTCATGAAAGAATCTGCCAGACATTCTGTGGGACACAGAAGAAAGCCACTGATGAATTTTGCCAAAATAGGCACGGCAGTCCTTCAAATTTCCTGCTTCACTGAGAAATCTGCCAGACTCTAAGCCTGTAGGCTGAAGATGGATGTCCCAATTTTTATAGAAGAACTTTGGGTGACTGTCCAGGCAGCCAGATGTCTGTCATTTCTAGAGTTTTGGAAGTTGTTTACAATGCACTTCCTGTTTACTCAGGTAATATTATATCCTTCTGGGGTCTTTGATGGAGGTGAAGACTAGATAGTTATAATTATAGCTTTCCTTAGTTATGATATAAAATAAATTAGATATGAAACTTTAGACTCACAAAGATAGGACAGAGTATTTTAATTTTGTGAAATACAAATGACTAAATATTATAACTGTAATTCTTGCTTGATACCTGTTTTATTATATGTAATTTTACTATGTTAAAGTTAAAACCTTTTTTATTAGACAGAAAGGGAGAAATGATGTGTATGCTGTGAATGTGTGTTGTTCCCGTTAGTTCATAACTAAAGCTGCTTTGGCCTATGGCAAGGCAGAATGGAGCCAGCAGGGAATCCAAACAGGGATAAAGGGAGAAATCAGGAGAGACACCAGCAACTGCCAGAGGGGTAAGATGCCAGAGCATTATCAGTAAGCCACAGGCCACATGGCAATACATGGATCAATAGAAATGGGTTTATTTAGAAGAGCTAGTTATGGTGGTATTTTATTTGTACTGAAATGTGATTTTAATTGTATGTTAATAAATAAAGTTGCCCTGGGGTCAGAGCTATTAGAGCCATAGCAAGAACATGGTGGCGGCGGTGCACACCTTTAATCCCAGCACTTGGTAGAAGAGCTAGGTAGATCTCTGTGTGTTCAGGAATACAGCCAGCATTAGAGACATATGCCTTTAAGACTTGGAGGGCGGTACATACAGGCAGTGACAAGGCAGTCATGTGGTTGGGTTTACAACCAATGAGAAAGCAGAACAGAAAGACTATTTAAAGACATACACATAGGAAGTAGCTCTCTCTCGGGGAAGCTAGGAGCACTGCAGGAGGTAAGGTTTTAGCTCTGAGCTCTGACCTCTCGGCTTTCTCTTTTACATTGCTTCTGTGTTTCTTATTTTAATAAGACAGTTGGTTACATCTAGTAATAAGCCTGAGCAATAGGCCAAACAGTTTATAATTAATATTAAGCCTGTGAGTGATTATTTACAAGTGGCCGGAGGATGGGAGCAGGACAGAGAAAAGCCTCTGGCTACAGTTGTACATCACTGTTATAGGGGATTTGTTCTCATGTATATTGTGGGGGAAAATAAATGAAAATGAATGAACCAATCAGCCTTCTGAAATAGCTACAGAAATGGCTTTTTGGTTTTTTTTTTTGGTTTTTCGAGACAGGGTTTCTCTGTGTAGCTTTGCGCCTTTCCTGGAACTCACTTGGTAGCCCAGGCTGGCCTCGAACTCACAAAGATCCACCTCCCTCTGCCTCCTGAGTGCTGGGATTAAAGGCGTGCGCCACCACCGCCCAGCCTAGAAATGTTTTTAAACTATGTCCATGAAACCTGGAAGACCTCACACTGCCTGTCAATTACTTAAGTCTCAATCCCTCTGACTGACTTCAGATACTCCTAGTCAAGTCCTGAAGCAGTAAGACAATCTATAAATATTCTGAAACAAAATATCAGGTTCAAATGTGGAGCCACATATAGCCCTAGTCATTGTCCCCAAATGTCTGACCCTGAAATAATAAATGTAACCATTCCATTCTGACTGCAGATCTCTCTCTTTCTCGGGACTTTGCTTAATTTCTTCATGCTTTTCTTGTAAATCTCAGACCATTTGGTTATGAATCCTTCTACCTGATCCCACTTAGCAAAGTCTTCAATCATTTCTTTCCTGTACTTTTTAAGATTTTTATTTATGTATATGTGTCTGTTTGTGTACATTATATGCACAGTACCCAAAGAAACAGAAATGAGTGCCAGATCTTCTGCAGCTGGAGTTACATGCAATTTTGAACCATCAGATGTGGGTGCTAGGAACCTAGCTCAGTTCCTCTGGAAGGACAGCAAGCACTTTTAACTGATGATCAATCTCTCCAGCCCCAATTTCAACAGTATCTGAATCTAATTTCAATACTTTCAATTTCTGGGCACTGCCAGAAAAATCTACAAAAGAGGTCTTGAGATACTACTATAAATTCAAATTCACTCATCTTGGTATGTCTCTCAGCTCTGTCTACCACTTACATAATGTTTTCCCAGAAAATTTGTTCTTCCATTTGTGTCAGTGATGACAGTCAATATTTTCTACCTTTATGTCTTTACTAAGCCTCAAACCATCATTCTGTGGAACATTATCTCTGCACTTAGAAGGAAAAGCACTATCTCCACCAAATCTCCAGATACAACAGCTTCTCCATCCAGACACTCCCTGTCTTGGGTCAGCACAAGAGCTTGTCCTCTCTCTAAGACCAACTGTACCTATTTCAAACCCCATGCTAACCTGCTGTATACTGTTCATAGAGAATCCATAGCTGTGCTGTATGGACTGTTTCCCCTTTAATCTCTTTCTCATTACCAGTTCCTTGAGTCAGTATTTAAACTTGTGTCTCTCTCTCCAGCAAAACTGAACACTTCTACGTTCTATACTTCCTCCATCTTACCTCTTTCCACTTCAGAGACACTGTTTAAGTTATGTATAGAAGTTCTATGCTACAAAACAATTTTTCTACCAGTAATAAATAACAGACATGAGTTCTATAAGGTTCTAATGCAGCTGAACATTTCACATCATTTAGTGACTTCACAACCATCACAAGTATGTTTGTATTGATACTCATGCAAACAAGCCTATGGTTCAGCTTAAGAGACAAGTATGTACACTGCAGAATTTTGACAAATGATAAGCAACTATGTTACTGCTGTGCTACATATTTTTAATTATTATTTTGGAGCATATTTCTTTTACTTACTAACAAAAAGTTTGATTATAAAACCTTAGGTGGGCCCATAATCGACTAACAGAGCCACTGTTTTGAGAACGTATGACAGTTCCATACATGGTAACACTTAGCCAAGGACAATATATAAAGATGGAAGATGGTGATATAATTCACACAATGTCAAATTCATCTACTCTGAATGTATCCACTCATTAAGGAAAAATTATAAGAAACACACTTGTTTTTCCCCCTCCTTCTGGACAGGATCTTACAACCAAGTTGGCCAGATACAATTCTGAATTCTGGGATCGGTCGTTCGTTGGATCGATCGATCCATCCTATCTATCAATCTATCAATCAATCTATCTATCTATCTATTTACTTTTATGCATAGGATGTGTATGGGTATGCCTGCATATATGAATGTGTGTCTGTACACTACATGCATGTCTGGTGCTCAAAAGGGACAGAAGGCACTAGATCCCTTGGAACTGGAATTACAGACAATTATGAGCTGCCATGTGAGTGCTGGGAACTGAACCCTGTTAAATCTGGAAGAGTAGCCAGCACTATTAACTGGTGAGCCATCTCTACAGCCTGTTCTCTTTCAATTTATTCCTCCAAAACCACCAATCTTTTTTTTTTTTGGGAGGGGGGGTCTTCTACACTTCAAAGACAAATTGCAACAAAATCATAAATGACTTTTCTGGCACAAAATTCAGCAAATATTATTAATCTACTTTTTCTCTGCCTGATCCGAGCAGAATTAGAAAGTTGCTATGCTTTCTTACAAGAGTACTCTACTCCCTTTTGTTTTCCCAACAAATCCTACAACTCTGGATCAATTTGAGTCCCCTTACAAGTTTCTTCATTGATCAACTACCCTTTTAATGTTTCTCATGACCAGTCCTCACCATTATCCCTCTGCCCATTCTGATCCACTCTCTTCATAATGTAGAACATATACAGATGTTTAATCTTATCTGATGCTGTGATGGCTATTTTGGTTGTCAACTTGACTACATCTGGAATTAACTGAAACCCAAAAATGGCTGGGCACACCTGTGAGGAATTTTTGCTTAATTAAAATCATTTGAAGTGGGAAGATCCCCTTCTAATCCAGATCTTTGAGGTAGGAAGACTACACCTTTAATCCAGATCTTTTAAGGTGGAAAAATCTACCTCTAATCTGTGTCGCACCTGCTGGAAGCCTATAAGGGCATGGAATAAGGAAGCCCCTCTTTTTCCCTGCTTGCCCTTGTCTTGCTAACAAGTCCATTCCTTCACTGGCATTAGAACCTACTTCATTGGCATTCTGGCATATACTGAGGATCAGTTTGAGACATCCAGCCTCATGGACTGAACAACTACTGAATTCTTGAACCTTCTGTTCATAGGCAGCCATTGTTGGATTAGCTGGACCACAGCCTGTAGGTCATTCTAGTAAACCCCTTTTTCTCTCTAGAGAGATTCTGTTACTGTTGAGAACCCTGACTAATACAGATGCACATTAACCTATGAGGCTGTTAACACATCACTTTCTTCACATTGCAAACCTAATCACACCCGATTCTCTATACACGACTTTCACTCTCTTCTTTGTCCTTTGTTCAAAGTCTTCAACACTGCTTTTTTGTCTAGACTTCTGCTTTTCATTTAAACCACAACACTCTCCCCCTCTATCCTCAGCTCTTCAACTTCTTAAGTCAGCTGTGGATCTGAGCTCTTAACTAGGAAGGTCTCTGGGTGGGATGTTCTTTGTGCATCTAATTCCTACTCTTGATTTGAATTTCACTTCAAGAGATGCTTTCTCAGTTATGTCTTCCTTGCCTTTCAATCTGCCATCTTCATATAGAGTATATTTCCCTCTATAAAATTTAACACACTAATAAATAGTTATCAAAAAAAAAACATTAAACTGTAAGGTCCCTGAAAGTTGTCATGTCCTGTCTCGTTTTTAGGCTGCACCCTCAAACATGTTTAGCATAAACCAAATACCCATAGCTGCTTAACTGAGATGAATCAGTTCTTGACTTCTCTTCCATTTTACTTAGACTATTCAACAACTTAACTTGACTATGTCAATATTTACATATGTATCAATGTTACATATGTAAATACATAAATATAAGTTCTATACATAAAATATACACATGTACATATTTGTGTTACATGTTTTGTGATGCAGTATCACTACATTGCTATGCTAGTCTCAAATTTCCAGGTTCAAGTGATCCTCCAGCCTAAATTTCCTGAGGACCTAAGACTACAGGTGCCAGCCATTTACTTATAATTTTGGTTATATTTGTGACCTGAGTTCATAAAACATTAAAAATAGAAGCCATTTATCTTTTAGTTTAATATTAAGAACTTTATAAGGTTCTGTAAGTCTCTAGGCCCAGATCTATGACAATATATATCAATTACAAGTGTTACCATAATTATTTAAGAGCATTACTATAAACTCACAATCTACTACTAAACCAGAAACCTGGAAATTCTTATCTAACAATCTAAGATAACAAACTCCTCAGGTGAACTCTAACGTACATTAAAGTTAGAAAAATATTACCTTAGAAGAGCCAGCACAGACTCTCAGGTTGCACCTATGTTGTACCATTTTGGATATTACTGGTTAGTTATAGAATTTTCAATTCTTTTTAGCAAACAATAACAAAGGAGTATATCTATTAACTAATTTCCTATCAGGAAGTTTACCTTTATATCAATGAGAAAGCCTTCAAATGGTCGGTAAGGATTGTGGACAATAAGGTGAAAATTAAGCTGCTGTATAAGTAGTAGTTCATATTCCAAAATCTGTTCCAGTGCCTTCTCCTGTCCAAGGGGACTCTCTCGAAGATTTCCAACAAACTGAGGACTAGACACATTGAATTCATCTACTTTGCAGGCCAAAAATGCACAAGTGAGCCTACATGAAGAAATAACAGAGGGCAGAAAAACCTAAGTCTTCTTTAAAGTACTTTGTAAATTGCTTAATATTTACACGTGACTATGTTAGACCCTGCAGTTAATTAAAACAAACTATAAATTAAAATGAACCCCTCTTCAAACTTTTGTCCATTGTGAGACTTACGTAGAGCCATCACCTAATGCTGCTACAGCATTTAGCCACCATCAACTTACTGGTAGCTTCATATAGTCTAGCTAGAAACTTGGAAAAAAAAAATAACTAAGGAATAAAAGTAGTGTGTATCAAGAAATATAAAATTAAAAACAGAATAGTACAAATGTATGTACCTTGTGACCAAAGAAGACAGGCAAAGATAATTAAGATTGCAGAAGGTCATCAGTAGAAGTTTTAAGTTACTTGAGTAGAGTTACCAGCTTATGGACAAGCAGGAAATTCACCTGAGTACTAAATTAAGTTCAGAGAGGGGAACTAGTAGGAAGGCTACTGCTCCTAGCTTTTAGAAGCTGAAGTCACAATAAAGGCCTAAGCCTGACTGGTGAGAATGGAATGGGAAAAACAGAAACAGAAACAAGAATGTCAGCAAACTCTGTGATGAGTCCTATATGAATTCTGTCCTCATCTTTAACAATAAGCATAATGCTTAGCAAAGAGGAAAAAAACAAAATACACCTTTGTTTAACCAAAATTAATACGAAGCTATTGGATTTGTAAACTGATGGGGGTAGAGAGGAAGTAATTACCACAAATGATTGTTAGTCTGAGGAATTGGGAGAATAAAGATGTCGCTGACAGTGGTATTGGTAAAATACCTAGGTTTAAGAAAAACTTTGTGAATGGCAGTCAAGTTGCAGTTCAGATGCCATTATCACTATATAGAAGATAACGGCAAGTAAGGAGATCTTATACTCAAATAGGGAAAAAAAAATTCAAGTCTAAATTGTTCTTAATTAAGAAGTCAATTATCTCATATACATCCCACGGACAAAAGTCCACACATTATAAACATCTTCAATGTAAATGAAAAGACAAATATATACTCACATTATTATCCGGGGGTGATATTCCATTACTGAATTATTAAGATAAAAACGCTTGAAATACATACAAGCTGTACCCTAAGATTAAAAGAAAAAAAGTACACATCTATAAAAGCAGGATCTACTTGCATGTTACATGTTACATTTTGAAAAAAAAAACTTATTCATGCAGTTTTCCTTGAAAAAGTTCTCCATACCAATACTTTTGAATTTTGCATAATTCAAAATAAACTGTGATAAAGTACAACAAAAACACCTTAATCAAAAAAGCCACTTTCATTTTTCAGCTATTTGTCTCCAGCCTACATGGAGCAATATTTTCTGCAGTCACTGAATTTAATAGTGTTTATTTATGTCAGAACAACATGAATACTTAAAATCAGAAAAATTTAAGGATTAAAATAACAGTGATCCCAGGTTACCCAATCTTGGAAAAATGCTAACACAATAAAACAATTGGAACAAAAAGCCTTTTCTCTGTCAACTCCAGATCTGTGATGTCCCATGATGATGGCTGCCAAACTGCAGCACCTCACGTTACCCGAATACATCCCATTTAATAAATAAGCCTCACTGTGCCAAGCTCTAAAGTATCAATCTATTCCCATCCTTATAACATATTAGTAAACTATTGCTATCTCCATGGAAAAAAGAAAAAGTATCACAAGTTATCTGATTTATTCAGACAACTATCAAGGGTCAGAGGCTATACTCAACTAAGAACTACCTGTAGTTTCGACAAAACAGTAAAATAACCATTTATTATTTGATAACAGGAAAAATTCTTCATTTAAATGCTTAAAAGTTTGCTGTCAATTTATGTTAAATAACAAACTTGTATCTATTGTACAGATAAATTCCATAAAAGTTCATTCAAGAATTGCTTGACCCAAAGAGATAATTTAATCCTACCACCTCATTCTAGGGCACCTACAATGAAAAAAACAAAACCCAAATTTCATCATAGAAACTAATCAACTGTATCTGATACTGTTTATGACTGTTTCATCTCTCAGATAAGTCTGCAACTTAAAAATGATCCATAAACACATGTGTATTTAATATTTTCAATGTTCTTCCACCTAGACAGTTCTTCTCTATTGGGTCATAAATCATTAACTTTAAAAACAGCCTTTCATTCTTGACCTTTACAGCTAACCAGCCATGAGAATAATAAGCAAGGTAAAGGTGCTTTACATAGCCTTAACACCAGCTTTTTTCTTTGCTGTTCAGCTTTTTAAATACCAGTTACCTATTCCTTCTCACCACTGTCCACCCTAGTGGAAACACAACACTAAGAACATATGAACTAATCCTGAGACATTTAAGCCTGGGATATTGCTCAGTTGATAGTGTTCCTGCCAGGGATGCATGCACCCTTGGGTTTGAGTCCCAGTACTAAACCAGATTTGCAGTGCCTACAATCCCAGCATTAGATGTTGAGGCATTAGAATCACAAGTTCAAGGTCATCGTCTGGAACACAAGGAACTCAAAGCCAAAGTGACTCATAGACCATCTCAAGAAAACAAAACAAACAGAACTACCAAGAAAAAACTAATAAAACCAAAGATAAACCTCAAACAACTTCTAATAGAAGTTTCAAAAGATCTTATGGCAGGAGTTGCAGCTGGAACATAATGGATGATTTCAAACAGGAACTGAGTTTAGCAGAATTGAAAAAGCACCTGTTTATACTTTAGTCCCAGTTCTACTGTTCTCTAGTCAAGAATGTGAAAAGAAAAATGACTTTTCTTTTTCCAAAAAAATGAAGATGTCACAAACTGTACAGCAGACTATGAAATGATATTGGAGATGCCCTTATTCACAAAATATAGCAACTTATGATTTAAGGCCCTTATTTAAAAATCTCAAAAATTAGTTTTTCTCACTCGTATTGATACCTGTATGACTATATCAATATTTAAAAAAAAAAAACACCTACAGCTGATTCCTATACAACTCTCACTGAAGATCCTTGTAGTAGCTAACTACCCACGAGAATTCATGCTTTGACACAGGAGAATAAGCATCTAGGCAGAAGCCACATTTCTCAGCTTGCTGTTGAGGTTGACAGAATGAGTGGAATGTCTGTCACTTTTGAGCCCAGAGTTCAAACAGTGGATATGCCTTCTCCACAGTTCCCTCTTGTCCACCCAGAAGCAGAGGATTGCTAGGTTAGGCGTGAGAGTCACAAGAGGTGGGGGCCTGAGATTCCAGTCACGACTAAAGAGCCACTTTCTGATGAGAGATGAGATGGCCCGTACTGGACCACACTATGAGAAGAAATAAACTACTAGATTTTTTTTTTTTTTTGCTGTTATGTAGTTTGGGGCCTATTTAGATCTACAGTTAAGACTATTCTAACCTAAAGGATAACTCCAACATAAATAAAATTTTGCTCTTTGAAAAAAATGTGACAGAAATAAACTAATACAACTAAGGTGAGTCTTCTAGATTGAAGAGAGAATTTAGTTAGAACTTTGGAAGAGTTCTGCTCTCACAAGCCTGCTGAAAGGCATTATGCTTCACTATCATGACTTACCACAACAGAGCGGGGCATTGCTGGCTTAAACACCGAACAGAATTCCAATAGTCTTTTCTCATAGTATTTGCAAAGTGTCATTTCTTCATGAGGCTCAAGAAATACTGGATCATTTGGAAGAACCTTTAAACAGAGCGAACATTTCAATGTAAGTTCGGTGAATTAAAACTGTTTTCTCCATCCTGCTTAAATTTGATTTATATCTTCACAAAGGGAAAATACCTCACATCATTTTCTCTTTGTAGGTTTGCTAAGCATTACACAAAATATCTTAGAAAATAATAAGCAAAATAAATAAACTGAATCTAAATCATCATCTCTCAGTTGGACATTTTGTTTGTTTTTCCGAAACAAGGTTTCTCTGTGTACTCCTGGCTGTCCTGGAACTCACTCGGTAGACCAGGCTGGTCTCGAGCTCACAGAGATCCGCCTGCCTCAGCCTCTTAAGTGCTGCTGGGGTTAAAGGCGTGCGCCGCCGCCGCCGCCGCCGCCGCTGCCGCCGCCACCACCACCACCACCCAGCAAGTTGGACATTTTTAAACTATCATGCCAGAGCATGTGCCAATATGCTCCCAGGTTTGATACCGTTATTTGTAAATCGATACTATTTTTCACTGGTTGGAAATACCCCAAAATCCCTTTCTCAGTGAATCATCGGGTCACCCAAATTTAAGAAAACAGCAACAAATGACTCAAAATATTTGGTACTTCGTTGTTCCGAAAGTGCAAAGAGGCAAGTATAAAGTCACCCCAGGTCAATACAACAGAAATGGGTGGTGGAGCTGTAGGAAGACCTGGAGAGAGGGCCACCGACCAAACCATGCTCAACTGGCTTGTGTCAACCTTCCCTCCGCGTGAAGGCTGTTTATATGGAAAGTAGATCCAACAGGCCACCATTTCCCCATTTCCAGTCCTGGAAAAGCCCCCTTCAGCTTCGTCGTGAGTTTCAGCCCTACGCTTCCGTTTACAAGCCCCTCGCCTACCTGCGTTCTTCACCCACTGCTGCCCAGGTACAGACAGCTTCGCCCACCAACGACCACGAGCACTCCCCGACCCTGCCTGGGATGCTGACCTCCCCCCCGCCGCCCCTGGGCCCCCGGGACCATCCTCTGCCCCTCTTGCCAGCTGCTGAGGAAGGTCTGTCCTGACATCCTGCAGGACAAGGGGCCAGTTCGAGTCCCGCACTGACTCCGCACCCCACCGAGGCTTTCGGCCAGGGCCCAGGATGGTTGCCCGTGCCTCCATCACGGCCAGTCCCGCGTCGGTGCGCACGGAGCCCCAGCCGGGTGCAAGCTCCGCGCTGCCCGCCCGCAGGCAGAGCGAGGACTCCAGGAGCGCCCAGCCCCGGGCGGGCGCGGGGGCCGGCCTGCGGGGACCTCACCTTCCCGTTAGCCACCGCTTTGCACTTGAATTTGCGGTTGGCGTCGGCCCGCAGGCGCGCCAGCTGCTCCTCGCTCGCAAAGGTCCAGTGCCGCTTCTGGCTGCTGCTGTGGTACATGGTGCAGCCCCGGGGAGGCTCGCACACGGCCCGAGACGGCGACGGCGACGCGCCAGGAGACCGCGGCCGCCACGCGCGACCGCGACCCCGAGCAGCCCGCGGCCCAGACCGGAGGCGCGCGCGTGACGTCGCGGTCGGTCACGTGCCGGCGCCCGCTGAGGCGTTTCCGTGGGAGGGGTTCCGCGGCGTCGGAGGGCGGAGCCTCGGGGGGGGAGGCTCCGGGCCTTGGGAAGGGGGCGGGGAGTCTGAGGGGGCGTGGCCCGGCAGAGTCAGGAAGTGGGCGTGGCCGCGAGGACCCGGGGCCGCAGAGAAGGTGCAAAGGTTCCAGGTTGCAGGCGGGAGCCATCCTCAGACGATCTGTGTGCACAGCCAAGGCCTAAGACCTTCCGGCTGAAGCCGACGCCGCGGAAGGGCTTGGGGGAGGGGTTTGGTCGGAAGAGCGCTAGAATGCGTATTCGTGTTGCTGCTAACCCGACCTTTCTCTGGGCGGTTTTCAGTTCCTCCCGGTATTCCCATCTCCGAAGCCCAAGTGGATGATAGTTTTACAGTTCTTGTGGTATTCCTATCTCCATTATTGCTTTCACGGATCTTACAATACACTATCATAATGCTTAAGAGGTTTATCTTTTGTTTTTTATTACTAGAGTTTACAAAATTGCATTTGAGATGGCCAAATATACATTGGTTCCAAAAGCCCTTACTATTTTGCTTTTACCCTTTTTCTTCTTTTGAGGCAGAGCGCAAAGCAGCCCCCCGCCCCACACACGCACACTGACCTAAATTGTGCAGTTGTGTTTTCCACCCTCCCTTCCTGCCCCCTTCTCCCCTTTACTTGTCTCACTGTGTACTAGAAGTCACTGTGTAGTTCAGGGTGGTTTCGAACCTCTGATCCTCCTGTCTAAGTCTCTCAAGTTCTGAGACCACAGGCATGCATAGCCACACTCCCCTCATGTCATCTTCAGATCACATTTCACTGCTTCTAATGGAGGTTATTCAAACAAAACACACTCAGTGTTCCTAGAAGAGGAACGTGTAAATTCACAACTTGATGGCACACTAATGATGTCTAATGAAAATTAGACAGCACCAGAAGTACCACATTAACAGGAAATTTTTCAGTGTTTAAAAATAAATACAAGTGTCTTTGTGCAGCAGTTCTTAAATTGTGCTTTGTATTATTTGTAGACAGATTGTAAGTATTTTGAGTACCAATATTACCTGAAATCCAAGACTTGCCATCAGAGATCTGGCTTTACAGAGCACTGTTACCTGTTGGTCTCCAAAGAAAGGCTCTTCACACTTTACTAACGGGACTTACAAGAGCACAGGAAGTATTGAGAATTCCTTTCTTGCTTTGGGGAAATTGTCCCACTTTTCAAAGCCTTATTTATCCTAGTGACTCTAATGCTGTGAGAAAATTAAAGAACCGAGACTGTGTCCTTACCACGAAAGGAAGAAAAGGAACCAAAAGAATAAGGTATCAATTTTTTTTTTTTGCAACTAGGGATCATTTTTTGCATGTGTGTTTGTGTGTATGCTGTGAGTGCATGTTTGTATGCATGTTTACAAATGTGACATGCATGTAAAAGCCCAAAGTTGATGGTAGGTGTTTTTCTCAATCTCTCCCCAGTGCATTTATTGAAACATCATTTCATTGAAACCAAAGCTCCCCAGTTCCTGCTAGGCTAGCTAGGCAGCCTACCCCGGAGATCCCCATCCCTGTCTTCAGAGTCATGGGCAGGGTTACAGGTGCCCGACAGGCATGTTAGGTTTTCTCTTGAGTTCTGGGCATCCTAATTCTGGTCCTCACATTTGAGAGGCAAATGCTTAATCTACTGGGCCATCCCCCACCCCAACTTAGAGTATTTTTAAATCAAATCTTGTATACATTTCTTTAACTTATTGCCTTTATTTCATCAACACATCTGATTTCAGAGACACACAACAAAGGGAGGTTATAGAAATAAGAACGAAGCCAGGAGTGGTAGTGAATGCCTGTAATCTCAGCACTGAAGAGTCGGTGGCAGAGGATAAAGAGTTAAAGGCCAACTATGTAATGAGTTCCAGGGCTGTCTGGGCTACATGGCACTCTTATCTGAATTTTTTGCTTTTAAGGAAAAGAGTGGATTACATTTAAGCTTACAGAAATAATATACTTATAATATACTTTGAAGAATGGCATGTTATTGTATTATTTTAGCTATTGACATGAGTTTCTAATGTTTTAAGTACAGACTTACATATTATATTGTAAAACCATTAAATCCATTACAATTCTATTTTTTCTGCCATACAATTAACATTGGTTCTAAAATCCTTTCATAACTTTGTCCCTAGTCTTTGAAGTTAACACTAAGAGAAAAGGAAGTATCTATAGCAAATGCTTACTGTAGACAAATTTCTAAACGGTCTTATTAAATAAGAAACACAGCAAAATATAAGGGTGAAAGCCTTAGAGATCAGGGAAATAGTCTAGCCACCAACCTTACCTCTCCAGCTCTGCAGCTACCAAAAAAGGGACTACTTCCTGTCTTACTCATACCTTTATTCCCTTGCTGTTCCACCCTTTCATAAGCTCTTAGCCCAGCTACCTCACTTCCTTGTCATTGACTGTCTGTACAGACCTCCAGGTCTCTATGGTTGGTACTGGGATTAAAGGTGTGTGTCACCATGCTTGGCTGTTCCCTAGTGTGTCTGGAACACACAGAGCCTCTGCCTGCCACATGACCAGATTAAGAGCGTGTGCTACCATTGCCTGACTTCTATGTTTACTTAAAAATAGCTGGCCATTTCCTCTGATCTCCAGGCATGCTTTTTTATTAACATACAAATAAAATATCACCACAGCTTACTTTCTCCAAAACAGACCAAAACTAAGGGTAAAGAAAATATCTCCAATCTAATGGGGTCTAAGTGGCACAGCCTGTGATGCCTGCTACCCAGAAGGCTGAGGCAGGAAGATGAAAGTTCAAGCTCAGCCTAGGTAACTTCGTGAGATTCTGTGTCAAAACAAGTGAAAGGAGAGCCGAGATTAGAGTACTCGGGTATATTGAACAAGAGGTGTAGCACTTGCCTGATGTGGAAAATCCTGGGTTCAGACCCCAGCACTACACTAACATATGCTATTTAATAAAAAAAAAAAAAACTACAAAATCTTTTATTTTGATGCACTTCCCCAAAATTGATACCTTGTTTTGTTTTAGGACTACTTAAAATATAGGTGCAAAGAAGTCTTCACAACATTTTATATAGTAAATTATACAAATCCATATTCATTTCATCATGTACTTACTGAATCACTACTGTAAACCTGATGCTAAGAGTTAGGGGTAGTGATAGGAACACAAGTATGACTATTTTTTAATTCCTGTTTCAAGGTCCCTAGAACATGGTAGCATCCTCAGGGCATGTACAAATATAGTTCCAAGGTGGGTAACCTTGGGTTTTGTGTGACCAAAACTTTATTCAGTCTCTTTTGTATTTTTTAAATTTTTTTTGAGATTATGATATAATTTCTTTCCTACCTTTCCTCCCTCCAAACCGTCCTATAGTCCCCTCTCTGTCCTCATTTAAGTTCATGGCCACTTTTTTTTTCACTAATTGTTAGTGTATACATGTATGAATACACATACATATTCCTAAATACAATCTGTTCAGTCCAGATAATGTTACTTGAGTATTTTCAGGGCTGCTGGTTTGGCACTGGACAGTGGTGTGCTCTTTCCTGGTCTTTCAAGATGACCCATCTTGTTTCTAGCTTTCCTCGGTTGCCCATAGTTCTTTGTGTAGGGTTGAAACTGCATGGACTTTTCCCTGTCTAGTCGACATGTCCAATGGTGTCATCATTGTCCCACTCAAGTTTGGGTGGTCATCTTGGTGAGTCATTATGGTGTAGCTTCTGATGTTACCGAGGAGACATACTATCACATAAAACTCCCTGATCTTCTAGGTCTTATCATCTTTCCACCCCATCTTCTCCAATACTCCCTGAGCCTTGTATGTGGATTGTTTTGTAGATGCATTCGTTGGTGCTGGGCCCTACAATTTGGCATTTTAATTGGTTATGGTTTTCTGTGGTGGACTCCATCTGTTGCCAAAAGAAGTTTCCTTGATCGGGGTGAAACCACACATACACATGGGTATAAAGCTAAATGCTTATAGATTGTTGTTAGGTATTCATGCTGGTTTGATAAATTAGTGGTTGTAGATTCTTCTCCAATAACCATGACTTCATTAACACTAGCTAGATGTCCAGTACCAGGAATGGTTTTCCTTTTGTTGGATGGGATTTGTATCCTTTTTGTAAGTATTAGAGCTTGGATGGAAGGAAACAGTCAGCTCCTGGCAATCAGGAGCCAAGGAATACCACAAAGTCACACCACACAAATGTGGGGTAAAAGGGCCAGCCAAAGAAACACACCCTGACTCTGAAACTAGAACCAAAAGGCTAAAAAGGACCAGTGAAAGAAATGCACTTTGGCCCTGAAACCAGAGCCAAAGAAACACATTCTGGCCCTGACCAACTCAGCAAGAAAATCAACCAATCCCTGAGCAGGAAAACCAACAAATCCATGAGCACGAAATCTAGACAATTCCGAACCTGAACAAAACCAAGGAATGAAAATCGAACAAATCCCAACCCGAAAAACCTCACCCTGGAAAAACTCCACCCCTAAGAAACTCTGTATAAGCCCTGTGCCTGTTCAGTTGGGAGCTGCCTCTCCACCCTGGCAGAGGCAGCCACCCTCCTGGATTCTTCTCTCCCAATAAATCTCTTGAATGAGGTTTTGGGTGAGATCTTTCACTGGAATGGAGCAGAGCAGAGTAGTAACAACTTTTGCCAGAGCAGAACAGAGTAGAACTATAACACTTTCGCTGTGGACACTTTCCTCTGCTGGAGCAGAGCTGTTACACTGGGGAAACCTTTCTCTGGAGCAGGGCTATAAGCTGCTATGTTTACAGTGACTTTATGGTATTCCTTGGCTCCCGATTGCCAGGATCTCTTTCCATTGAGCTGCAATGCTTATAACAGCAAATCTCACACAAGAGATTTATTGGGAGGGAAAAAACAGAAAGGTGGCTGCCTCTGCTCAGGTGAGAAACAGCAGCAAACTGAACAGGATAGAGAGCTTA